CGGTGTTGAAGTTGTTGACACCGCAATAGTTGTTGTAGAACTGTACCCAAATAGCATCGATGTAGACAGGACCGTTGAGGATCTCTTTGTCTGCCTGATCTGGGTAGGGGCATTGCGGTGCTGCTGTCAAGTAGAACTTCTGCTTGCTTTTATCAGCTTCCATTAATGAGCGCAGCTCATTCGCGAATGGGGCCATGTGCTGGACATTGGCCTCAAAGTCGAAGTCGAACCCATCCAAGGCGACATCACCGAAGGGACGAAGGGATTTGGAGCCATCTTGCTTAGGGCCAAAGGTCTCCCACATCAGCTTCGCGCCATCCTTGGCATCCTGTTCAGACTTGAAGCCGCCCTCGCTGTACGTGGCTCCGCCGATCGAAAGAAGAATTGTTTTGTTCTTCTTTTGGCATGCCGCGATGTCCTTGCTAGATAAAGTTAGCTGTCTGGCGAATTGCCAGCCCACTGGATCTAGTAACTTACGCAACTGAAGGACAGTTCTTCAATTGGGTGCCCTCGAAGACATCACAGTCCTTGCTGGTAACAGAGAAATCAATCTCTGGAGCACCTCCGGGGCCATTGACCATCATGTTGAAGGCCATCGGTATCACCTATATTATTTTGTTAGCCTAGCAAATTCAAAGAGGCTCCTTCGCGATGCTTCTCTTACGTCAATGTCATCATCTAGAGGTTCTTGTTAGCTTCAAAACCACATGGGAAATATAGGGTTCACTCACTGTCGCAGTAGTGTGCCAGAGGCTGCTGTTCCTTATCCCCCTTTCCATTAAATGAATTCTGGCCTTCAGTGTATCCTATGTTAGTATTCACTCGACCAAATGATCAATGACCACATACCCCAGTAAACAACGATGTTGCTGGTCGAGTTCAAGTCCAGCTTCGCCTGTGCTCCTCCAATTGAAGCCAACAAAATAGACAAATGGAGGACACCCTGATAGCGACGCATGGTGACAAGCGCAGTACACTATGCGGTCGACTTGTATTATTAGGGATTAAGGAATGAATTAATATATGGGATTAGAGAATGTATAGGGACGGACAAGGAAACTCCAGAACACCGAGCCTCATCATGAATGAGCATAGCGCATCATTAAATAGTATACGTTGTATTTTTGTCTTCGTCATTCTCGAGAAACAATGGCCGCGTTGCCCATTCAGGTGCCTCACACCCGGTGCCCTCAGCGCATGGTATGATCCACATGTCCACGCCAGCGATCTGAAAAGAAAGGGCTTGGAGCCATTCTTCGGCTCCAATTGGGTCAAAATTGTAAGCGATATTACCAGATGATAATTCCAACAAGATTGTGGAGTGTGAGCCGGTGCCCAGTTCTACATTCCAGTGTTGTTGTCAGGGGACCGGGGTAGATCCAAGAATGCACCGAGGGATGAGCATGTTGTGGGTGTAAAATCAAATTCTAGGCCATGAGCATTTGACTATTTGGTAGAAATTTTACTTTATGCCCGGCCATCGCGCGGTCAGAAGCCGCATCCCTTGTCATCTGGGCGGTCATCTTGGGGGTCATCTGGGCGGAGGCACACCATTCAGTTAAAAACTATACTTTACCACTTTACTTGCCCTGATTCGACAAACTATTGACAATTAGGTTATAGCTTCTTTGATACTTGTTTAATTTGGTAGTTCAGTTGACTATTTAAGTTTTGTTTGAAATATCAAGGCCGAAGTTATTGAAAAAGTAATACTTTTAGGTGTTGAGGAATATCCATGTAAACCGTGAAGCGTACTAGGGCTTCGAGATATATATTAGCGGACTCAACGCCACAAGTCATTGGCCCCCAGTACCCAAATACATAATCACCCTAGATTTAGCTTATTCAATGTTATTCGACCCTCGACTTATCATAAATCCAACGCTATGCCCTTGCAGAATGCAAGCCACCATCACATCTAGATCTATACCGAACGGAATTACCCAATTGGGTTAGCGTCGAATGCTGAATTGAGGGCATTCCCAACAACCGCGGAAATTATTTCGATCGCAAAAAGCACGCAGCAAAGATAGCCAGGATAATATGTATAACACCCCCCTGCCAATTTCAACCAAAAAGAAATTGACACACCATCTCCCCCGGAATGCAACGGATCACTTACCGAAAACCCAATTCATAGAGGTGTAGCCAAACTTGTCCTGGGGGAATCCAGCCATAGATGGGCCAATGGTCATCCCGCTAATTGCAGCTATATCAGTCGTAGCATAAACACGAGATAGACCCCCGCGAGGCCCAAGACGCCCAGAGTTGCGTTCTCATAAGCTCCAACAGAATCTAGGAGTGTGTCAAATCAAACCTATCATACTTCAAGTGAAAAATCGACTAGGAGTTACCGGTAACTTCCACGGGCCCCGCAAAATGCTGGAAACCATGAGCCTGCTCATTATACCAGCGCTGGCAGAAGATATAATTAGTGCGACATTGATCGCTTTGCCTCTGTCGCTTTCATGCACGGTGTCTGCTATAATGACGAGGTCGACAATCCAACGGTAGAGCCAGTAATACGCCGAAGGACTTTATCGAGGAGAATTACAATACATGAAGGTGACTATCCAATTAAAATTGTCCCAACGACATATCCCGCAAGCGATAAAAGTAGTGGTTTCCTCCAGATAGCCATCTTGTCCGTGGAATATGGAATTAGGGGACACGAAATATCACAGACGAGGGCATGAAGGGTGGGAAATTTAGAGGTCAAACGTTGGGTTTGAGAATGATCTTTGTAGAGGCGATTGTACCACTTGTTTCTCGATATCGACCCTGGTGGCCTTTTTGAGAAAGGGGAAATATCGGAGATGAAGCTCCTTGGTCAAAGCTACCTGACGACCCTTCTGGACACTAAGTTATCTACCCATTAAGCCAAAAGAGACTCAAGGGATGGATGAGTGTTCCTACATTCAGCTGTCAGTCGTACTTGCCATGTATATGCATGACTGACAATTATCACCTCCGAAGATTCAAATGTTGTCTTCTCACTTCCAACAATCATCTCCCTGATACCATCGTGGGCTTTATGAGCCCAACCTTCTCCATATAGTTCTTCTCGATATCTTCTATCCTTGAATCCTGTTTCTCTTTCCACCCTTTTTCATCTGTTTTCGGTGTCCACCCTAAGGTAGGTTGGGCAGCTGGGTCGCAGATATTCAAGGCGACCCACCAACAGCGGTTCAAACAATGCTGTCATGACCTTAATGCATGATATCGGAAACTAGTATGATCGAGTGGATTCGTGGAAGGGGTCGTGGATGACGCGTCAGAATCATACCAAGGTGAGATTCCGTACTTTCCCATTTCTGATATATTTAGGTTGGAGAAGAGAAAGCTGATTCATCCCTGCAGCCTCATACGACCACCACCAGCAGACGTTCAGGTGAACCAAACCACTGCCGGCGGTGTCTTATGGTCCATACAACGCCCTAGCGAGCTTTAGGGATCAGCAAAAAACCCTCACAGGGTTTGAATGGCTCTACCCAGACAAATATTCGCCGGTGGTTGCAGAATCATCGCTTTCAATAGCTACATAGTCAACAGAGCCAACCGCCTTATTTCCGGGGACAATTTGAGGCCGAACCATGATCTTCATCGGACTTCACAACACCATCAAAACGGCTTCCTTACACAGCTCTAGACGAGTCGAACACCCGGACATCGGTCAGCTCGTAATCACGTCCGTATGTGATGCGCTCTCATCTTGCAGTCAGCCCTCCACGATAGGACGTCTAACGAGTATCACTGAAAATGTTTTGGAAGGGAGGCTGATTTGATCTCTCCCCTACGTCCAAGTCAATAGAGCCCCAAGGGACATACAAAGCACATGGACATTACAATACAAATGATTCAATGAACCATGACCCAGATGACTACCCGATTGCTTTCTGAGGGGCACCTGTCATGGCGATGAAGATGGAAGAGAACAATCCTCGCTCGAGTGGCATTGGGATATATGGGATACCTCCCACCTCGCCGTCCTAAGGCCACCATCTTACTTTAGCCTCTTTGCTCATCAAACGCCTCGCAATGACGTTGATGGCATATAACTTATGGATAACTTGCCATGACCCTCCCAAACCTTATCATGTGCTTCCTTTCATATATCTTCCCTGTCCCCAAGCTTCATAGTGAATCTCAGCTTGATTCTTATTGATCATGGAAAACCCCTGCACCCTTCTGGTGAGATGCCTCCCCACTCTGACATACCTTGGAGGGACGATAGAGTCTTCGGTCTCCACTGAAAGGCTATGCGCAGATGATAGAAGTGTCCGGCTATATTTACAATGTGAGGCACTAGAACCTTGAAACTCCATAACTTTTACCACAGACATAGCCTGCGACTTCCGTTCGCATCCCTGGCTATACGGAGGTTAGCTGATGACCTCTGCGGGCCGTGGCGGCGTCGCGGAACACCATACTGTGCATTTCCGAGAGGGTAACGGCAAATCACAGCAAGTCAGAACTGAGACTGAAAACGCTCGATGGACGTCCCCTATCTCGTCCCATCCGCATATCGTGGAGATAATACTACGATGTCTTGCTGTCTGTCTTTCTCATGCCCTTTGTATGTTCTTTTTCCGACTACAACACTGAATTTTATCACTAGAAAGTTGAAATTAAATTAGCTATAAGGTAGAGAACACCCACCCATCACTAAGCAGAACAATTCTTACAAAATCAACGTTTCTGATATAACCAAGGATATATGTGTAATGGGCGGCTGGATGCGTGTCGCCTGGCGCAGAAAGAGATATCCCCATGCAATACTAGTCTCGATAAGCTCTTGAGTATGTATAATGAGGCCGTCTGCTCCGTTTGATTCCTCATATACCAAGTGCCGAGGTAGAATAATTTCCGAACACGCTAACTATCTAGGAGCATAACATTGTACAGGTCGATGTGACATGTCCAGAATCCAGTCCTAGAGGGTATTACCGCTCCGCATATTGTTTATATTATGACTTCTCTATGTTCAATCAGTAAGAAATCTACCTCTTAATCCCAATGACACGCTGGATAGCTTCGTCATTGGTCATAGCCGAGTCAATAACACCAGCCACCTTGAGCACATCGACAACACCACCAATAATCTTATCGTCAACGCCACGGGTAGCATTGGTGAACTTGACATCCTTAAGCCACTCCGTCGCATCCTCCTCAATATAATTGCAACCAAGCTCGCCAGTACCTAGAAGCTTCACGACATTTGCTGTATCAGCCTCGAATTCCTTGATTCCTTGATCCAGAGCCTGGAAGAGGCTCTCCAAGCGCTGGTCTTGCTCAGGGTTAGGGAATAGTGCCGTAGAAGCGACAATCATCCATGAAGGCCACGGCGTGAAGATCTCGCCAATCTTCTTAAGTGGCGGGTTCGGCTTCTCAGATGTGGGGTGGAAGTAAGGCTTCGTGGTAAATTCTTCCCACATGAAGAACTCAGCAGAGGGGTTTGCAGCCTGGTCGGGCTTTGAGGCGTCGAGACCGGATACGCCATCCCGCGCAAGGGTCCGAACGGTCCCAGAGGAACCGTGGTCAAGGAGTTTGCTTTCCAGCCTTGTTGCTGGGCCAGAACAAAGGACATGATATGAGAACCACTAAAGGTCGATATGTTAGTCTCCAAGCTATACTGCGCCATCACCCAATGTTGAGAGCTTACCTTCCCAGTCGGCTGACTCCAACCCTCTTGTCCTTCAGATCCGACACTCCATTAATCTCGTCCCGATTGCGGCCGGTGACGATGGCCCAGCGCAGAGGGTTGTCTACCCAGTGCCCGATGACCTTGTATCCTCCATCTGAATCTGCGGAGGTCTGGCTTGCTTGCTGCTTTCCGGCTAAGCCTGCGACCCACCCCTCTGTCAAACCGATGGCGATGTCAATTTCATCGCCGCGGAGGGATGTGATCATATGCCCCGTTCCGGAGGGGAAGGGAGTTGCGACGATTTTGAATGGGAGGGAGGCAACAGCCGGGGAACGGAGGGCGAGATGGAGTGGGGTTAGGTAGTGCTCTAGGGGGGCGGAAAAAGCTTATCGTTAGCTATATTCCGTCTGATAAAAAGTGGAAATGACCCGCAGGCGTTGTTGAAACGAAGCAACTAGCTTGGATATGGCAATATTATTTTGCTACAGATGCCGAAGCTCTGGGAAGGAGGGGCTGACGTACCGGGCACATAGCCAATGCGGATTGTGGGCAAGTCAGACATTGTGTAAATCTTAACTGCGGTACTGATTCGGATAATAAACAGAAACAGTAGACCTGGGGGTGCGTTGGGAAGATGCTGGCGCAGATGTCGGAGCAGAGCGGCATTCCGAGTGACGCGGGGCAAGCCCCTCACTCGACGCGCGCAATCCGCGCAATCAGCGCAATCAGAGAAAGACAGGCCAACAATTTTTTTTTGATAAAACATCAGTATTGACATTATCTCATTCAAATTACAGATCTATAATGCTGTTTGCCAATGCTAGCTATCTACATAAATATTGAGTCTAGTCCAAGTTCATCGTAGGTATTTTAGTCCATGCGGATATCCTTCTCGTGGTGACCCCAGCGGCCGGTCTGCTCCATAGACTCGCCTGCGGTCTGGGAGGTGGAACGGGAATGAGAAGTTGAAAGAGGGAAACCGTGGGAGAGGGAGTTGGAGTGTGAGTGTGGGTTGTTGAATGAGTCGGAGAGCGAGCTGGAGTGGGAGTGGGAAGGGGTTTGGATGGGGGTGTTTCGAGTGAAGTAATAAAACTGGAAGCCCAGGTAGAAGTCGCAAATGCACTGGAAGATACCACAGAGCTTGAACGCCCAGGGGATGGTCTCTGTGCTGTTGAAGAAGTAGCTCATCTTCATGGTATCACCGAGAATCCATGCCGCGACGACGGAGACTCGGAAGCCCTTGCACGAGCCGGATCGGTGGTTGGCAACGATTTGGGGGATCGGGAGGGTAGCTTCGACGGCGAGTCCGCTGTAGCCAATGAGGCTGATATAGAATTGCGATTGGGCGACCGGGGTCAGGTGGATGACGGTCAAGATTCCGACGAAGTAAGCCAAAAACATCCAATATCTTTGAAATGGGTAATTAGCTTGAATCGCCGTAGCCGGAGGGGCCGGAACTTACGGCTTGGTGGCCTTCCACTGCCAAAACTCATAGGGTCTCGAGGATGAACCGTCAGAGTTACCACCGCTGAAGGGTGTGTGTTCAATTCCATTCCGCACGCCGGCGGAGGGCCGATTATCGAGCGCAACCTTGAGCATCGTAATCTGAACCACGATCATGACAATTGCTTGCGTCAACAAAGTTCCTGAGTAGTGCTCGCCAAACCAAAAAAAAACCCTAACAATGTCAACATTTTGCGCCCAACGCGCCGTTTATCGGGATCTTACTTCAGGATCGACGAAATCAGCATAATCAAAGGAATATCCAATGAGAAGCCCGCCGAGCTTCTTGTGCGATGAATGCTGAGGATCTGGTCGGCATAGGACGTAACAGGGGAGCTTATAAGGCTGTATATTAAGTGTGGTTAGCACTGGGAACCTGTAGATCAATTGGGAGCTCGTTCCCGTCCACATACAAGAAAGGCGCGGCATAGTCAAAAGCGATCTGGAAAAGAGACATGGCGGTGATGGGGTATGCACGGTCGCTCTAACTGAATAAAAAAAGACAAAAGTCGGGTCGACGCGATTGCGTGGGAAGTTGCGTCTTGTAAGTATTCCCGACAAAGGAAAGGCGACAATCAAGAACGGGAGTCAAAAGAGGGAAAAAAGGAACAAGCTTCGGGACACACGACTCAATGCGGCTTTTTCGCGGGTGCCCTGGATTATGTCAGCGTGCCGATCTCCACTTGCGGCAGGGCCCTGGGGCTGATGGGGTCAACGTGGCGAAGTTAGACCAATCAGATTAATCATCGTTATTAAATTCGTCATTTACCTATCTTGGAGATACCCTTGGAAATATAGATGGCTCAGAATGAGGTAATGAGAAAGGTATTGCCCGATCTGGACACAGTATACGGTACTGCATCAAGTATCCTGACATCACGATGAACAGTGCATAGACATATTCGAAAAGGATGACTTGCCAATTCTCCCAGCCCACTTTCTGAAACAATCCAAGTTCGCCTTGCCATCTAATTTCGCCAATCCTTAGTGTTTCAGCAACAGTCTTTCACGAACATCCAAAATGAGCAATCCCAGCAATCCTAGCGATCAAACCGCAAAGGAGATTGAACTCCAAGACCGCGAGCGTCAACTTCGAAGGCGTGAATTGGACCTTGACCTCGAAAAGCACGAGCTTAGAATTGAACACGGCAAAGCCGAGCTCGAAAAGCATGAGCTTGTACTCCAACAACGCAGAATGGAGTTTGAAAAGCAGGAGCTTGGAATTGAACAGGACAAAGCTAAGCTCGAAAAGAATGAATCCAAACTCAAAGAAACCATTAAAAAGCTCGAAGATATTGAAACTGAGTTTAACTCGGATGGACCCGATATAATCAGGCTGGCGATATCCAAGAATTTTAAGCGTGGTATGACAGGTACGAAAGAACACGAACTCAAACAGGGTAAAGATAAAAACGCCCTTCAGCGATGCCGATATGAGCGGTACGTCTATGAACAAGACCTAGATGGGAAAGAAGATCGCTTGGCAGATTTTCTCGACCTGGAAACTGGACTCCGAGAGATCGCTCAACGGGAAATATGCCTGAGAGAACAATATGGCCAAGATCCAACCAAAGTCAAGGAAGAGTTCAAGACCACAAAGAAGGAATATAAACGACTTGAGCACGAGTGGTGGATGATCCGGGATTCCTTCGATGCACCTTTGGAGCGAGCTTTCCAGTACTGGCGGTCAAATCCTATATGGTATATGCATCGTGTTCTTCGAGAGGATTGTGCCCGGAGGGGAGGCTGCTGTGGGCGTGACTGTGGATGTTGCCTTCATCGCAAACTTGACGAGACTCGCACCCATGCAGCTAGGCATTTCACCGTCGAATGTGGTTGTTGTAAGAAGGCTCGGGGATTTGAGCTTTCCGAGGACGACAAGAAGTACTTTGCGATACGCTATGCGGTCTCTGATGATGGTAAGAAAGGCCTCGATCTGAAGGACATTCAGCTGAAAAGCCTCGAAATGCAAAATCTACACCTGCAACAATTACTTACTGAAGGGGCAATGAAAGAGAATTTGATGCGATATCAGTTCTCTGATGGCGCAGTTCAAGAATTTGAACACTACATACATGAAGCTGACATCGCTGAGGATGAAGCCGAATTCACCGACGATGAGTGCCCTATGGATGAGGAGGAGGATCCGTACTATCGTCGGATCTCCCAAGCTTCGATCTGGGGCTTAGTGGACGGTAACTTTGAGAACCCGTTTGACTTGATCGATGCGGAATCGACCTGTGATTCAACATGGCAGTTTGACGGTAGCAACCTGTTGGGCCAAGAGGAAAACGATTCCATGATTACGGAAATAGATTGGTAGATGCCACAATTGCTTTAAATGGGTAGAGTTTCTTTTGGGGTATTGATAAGCTTACTTGCTAACACCAATGCATAGCTGGGAGTAATGATGAAGCTTGAACTTGCTAGCTTTGAAAGGGTAATTTTCTTTCGTTTGCTAAACCCCCGTTGCCTTAAATACAAGTGCACTACGCGATATACTACGTAGCTATAATACTATACGGTAGGACAAACGATGGCAAACATCTTCTTGTGGTCATTAGAAAGATCTCGCTGGCTACTGGATATCATAGGAAGTTGACAGAGAAGCACTGGAGATCTATATATATTGCCTAAGCGACCATGTAAAGACAAAATTTCGGGTAGTCCACTACCGACCCAGGATACATGCGACAAATGCCCGAGTATTGTGCGGTATAAATTGTAGTGGAGTGAAACATGATCGACATCCTATATCCCAAACGGAAGGTGTGGGTTCCAATGGACTCAAAAGGGGCCAAAATCTTAGAGAGACCATTAGACTGGTTTCTCACCTAGAAGCGCAAAGCTCCCTTCCTTATCAACCTTGGCGTAGCAATGGGCATCGTGTCCAGCTTGTCTGCTAGTTTCAACAGCTTCTTTAGCACGCGGACGCATCTGCTTCTCATAAGCCCTGATGGCATCACTAAATGACACGTGTCCATCGCTAGCTGACTTGATAGCATCCGCCAGTTGACAGGCGTCCACAATGGCATGGTTGACTCCCTCGCCGCGATCTGCTCAAGTTAGTTGGAGTCCGTATACTAGCAAGAGAATAGGCAGTATACTTACAGATAACCATACAATGGGCCGCGTCACCGATTAAAGTGCAGGTACCGTTCCAGTCATTCCACTCAACAAGGGGCCAGTCAACCAGGTTGACCTTGGTGACAACAGTGTCCTCAGGCAGTGCCTCTACCATCTCCCGCATACGAGGGAAAAATGGTCTGCCCTTTTGTTTGAACACATCAAGTAAGGGCTGTTTCAACAGCTCCTCATCCGCATCAGATGCAAGCCAGGAGAAGTACACTTGGGCACGATAGGGTTGCCCGGAGGCTGTGGGGGTGTCCAACAATGACCAGAAGACAAAGGTATCTGTTTCTGGGTGCGTTCCCATGAAATAGAGTGGATCGACGTGGTCTTTGAAGTAGCTGACGTCTTCCTCACTCATAGCCAGGGCACATCCGACAGCATTGATAGGAAGGCGGTGCAACCCGTAGGTTGTCGGTGCAAGGAACTTGCGAACAATCGAAGTCGAACCATCTGCACCCACAAGGGCGTCTCCTAAAATAGTTGAGCCATCTGTGAACTCAGCTCGGACACCACCATCAACCTTGACGATGTTTATGAGGCGCTTCCCCCACTGCAATAATGAGGTTAACTGAATTTATCGAGGATAGTGCCAAAGAAATGAAACATTAACCAACCTTGATATCTAGACCTTCCATAAGAGCCTTCCGGATTCCATCTCGTCTGAGCCTGAGTCTCTTACTCTTCGGAACAGACTGCTTAACCTTGCCAGTCGCACCATTGATCCACGGCACCCCGCGGACTTCCTCCCGGCCGATAGCGGGATTCACCTGTGCCTCACAAACATCGTCATATACCTCTGGCAGAATATGCGCTTCCCACGTGGTCAGGGTCGAGTGTATAGAAACACCCCATCCCTGATTGCGTACCTCCGCAGACTCATCGCGCTCAAATACTGTACAAGGAATTCCATGACGACGTAGGGCCTGGGCCAGCGTCAAACCAGCAATGCCTGCTCCGATATATACTTTGTCAGAACGCGATTCCAATCGACTTCTTTGAGCTGGTAGCATACGATGAGAATACCTCCGTTGGAGTCTTTTACTGCACCGTTGGAAGACATATTAGCTCGATAGTGGCTTGGAGATAGTGAATTGTAGATTGATGTTGGGCGCTGCGGCGGTCTTTATATGTGGTTCCCTTTGACTATGCGTCATTTTCCGGCGGAATAAATAGGGAGGCGGCATTGCAGTTCCGTTGAGAATCAAGGTATGGGATTTTTTTAACAAGCTGGGCGATATTTTAGTTTATATACTGGCTGGTGGATTGGCCCACCTAGAGTGTAGATCCTCTCGCATACTTTCCTAATTCGGCGATTTCAGACGCCGAGCCTTCCTGCTATCGAATTTCCCGAGGGCGCTTCCGCTGACAAAGCGGCAAGTGAACCGGTCTCAACCAGTTAATTGACAGGATATCCCAGAAATAGTTTAGTTCTTGACCTAATAGGGGTTGGAAATGAATGATATATCAGTCGGCAATCGTGGCGAATGAAAATTGCGCCGAGGCTTTCTTTGTATCCCCTTTTCGGAGCACGTCGCGAGTTTGAAATCAAGGAATGACAAAGTCCAAAAACCAGAACAAAGGAGATGCTGAAGACAAAATATGCTATGTAGAATGGCCCCACGATCACAAAATGGCATCAACGGTATCGGGCCAGCAATCGGAAATCTTCCCGTCGTCTTGGAAAGAAGCGACAACAGAACCCTCCCCTCTCAGGGGATCACCTTCCCACACCACAAAGTCCCCAGTCAATGCTCCCTCTTCGACCTTCTTCGATTGACCCCCAAGGATGATATCAAAATTGGTTGAAACAAGAGCAATGGCCTGCTGATCACTTAGACCAGCATACTTGCCAGCCCACCAAGCTTCCTGCGCCAGACCATGAATGTTTGAATCACTTCTTACAGCTAGACCAAGCAAAACACCGGCGTCAGATAAGATCTTAGCAGGGCTCTCTGTAAGTGGGGGTCCTGTGGGTGCGTTCTTCTTCTCCCAAGCATCAGGGGCACCCCGGTTACCGGTGAGGATGACAGGAATTCCTGCTTCGGCGAGATGCTTGGCAACCTATTGACCATTCAAGTAAGCATAAATGCCACTACCCAGGCCAATTGAGACGAGGGTATCTTACCAATGGAGCGCTGTGGCCGCCGTGTATGATCAGGTTGACTGATTGGAACTCACGCTTTACCAAGATCAATTGCGCAATGTCATCCTGACAATATTGAGTTAATTATTGCGAAGAGCGGTTCCAGGGGCGCAGAAGTATAACCACAGCTTACCTCATTGAATGCCTGTACAACAACAGGGAGGGAGCCGTTCGCAGCCTGAGAATAAACGTCGAGGATGCCGGGTGCGGCATCTTCCCCCGCCTGAAGCAACTGACGGAGTCTCTCAATGCCAGAAGAGACGGTTGGTGTCTCATCACCTGAAAGAAACCAGATTAGCTTGATCCCGAATGTTCCAAATCAAGAAAATTTCTTACTTTTAGCAGCCTGGCCTATCACGAGGTGGAGTGCTACATCATCCTTCCAGATACCACTATCAAGAATCGTGGCATTCTCGCTCGTGCGCAATCCAACACTCACACCTTGAACAACGCCACCACCATGTAGAGGCGCAGTGATGGCTCGCGTCACGCCTCCAATCCTGGCCCTCGCGAGTCCTCTGCCATCAAGATGCACGCCGTACTTGGCGAAGTGAAGTGACTTCTTTTCGTTGAGTGCATCCGCGTTTTTCGAACCCGCACCATCCCCAGTTGAGGGTTCAGATGGGATGGACTGGATTCCGAGTTTGTTGCCGAAGGCTACAAGCCCAGGCAGAACGTGACCGTTCTTCAAAGCGATATGGGCGGTATTTTCCTGAATGTCACTGGGGAGACATGAGGATCTCTTATCAAGGCACTTGACTTGACCATCATCAACCAGCATAACGAGGTCGTTAGTGGCACTAGTAGAGGGACCGTGTGTATTAACCAAGACTTTCTGAATTCCAGTAAACAAAATCCGGGAACCAACCTGCCGAACTTTGGTGCATGTATCTTCCTTCTGACCTATTTCAAGAGATGGTCGGATTTGGGGAGCTTCCGGTTTTCCAGAGCCAGAGTTTCGAGTTGTCCATTCTGGAGAATTATCATCATTTTTCAGAACAGGCCGACCATCAATGAATACCTGGGTTGGAGTTGCACCAACTTGGAGCGGGTGATCATCCCAAATGACTATGTCTGCATCGTATCCTGGACGGACATATCCAATTCTATGATCCTGTTGGATTGATCTAGCAGGGACAGATGTCACGGCTTGAAGAGACTTTTCTTCAGACAAACCAAACGAGTGAGAAACTGCGGCCTGGTAACTGTAGGACATCAGGTTAGATGATGGTGTCATTAAATGTAGTGTTTTTTATATACTCACACAAGATACTTGGCATAGTTTCCCTCGCCAGTATGATCCTGTTTTCTGTTAGATGGACGAAATATCGTTTTACGAAAGGAACGATTTCGTACCGACTTCAGTGCAACTTGGACACCATGATCAGCCAAAATTTTAGGCCCCCGTAAATTGGCCACGTATGCCTCTGCTTTGTAAAGCGCATTCTCTGCAAAAGTAGCAATAGTGATGTTTCTGAGGTCCGTCAGCAAATGAAACCCAAAGGAAAAAGGTCACATACTCCTCGAGAGACTTTAAGAATTCAGGCACTTCCCAAGCTTCCAGCGCATGGTGGAAAGCTCTGGGATGGATGCCAAATTCATGAAGCACTGACAACATGCGCTCAAGATCCTCCGGCTCGTAGCAGTGGACATTGACATTGAGCTCGCCTCGGAGAAGTGCAAGAGAAGTTTCAAGTTCAAAGGACTCCGGTCGTCTCCCTTCATCTTTCAAGAACTGCGAAATTTGTCGAGACTGTGCAAAGCTAGACTTATCAATATTAGCAGCCGCCCGGCACCAGGCAGATTGACGCTCTTCTAGCTCTCGTGCCTCCGCGAGATGCTTGCGCAAAAGCCACACTAGACCCATCCGGGTGTTCTTATAGTTGCCCTTGGGGTTCTCTCCACAAGCCATTTTCAAGTATCTCTTTCGGCTTTTCTCTGGAGTGCCATAATCAAGCAGTAATTCATCGACTACCGGCTCGGCATTTGGGCCTGGGGTTGCCAAGTTCTTTACTAGATATGCCTCGCCGCCGACAATATTTGCCGATCCTGGGAGAACCAAGGAGGAAGTGACACCACCCGATGCGATGATCAGGATCGCTGGGTCATATGGCTTCAATCCATCCAATGAGCGAACAAACGGAGTGATGGGTCCTAGCACTGGGCGCTCGTTGACATCGCTGGTAGATGGAAGGTGGGGGAAGGGAAGTAACAAATGATGAGAATGCATATCCACCAAGCCAGGCGTGACGAATCGTCCATGGGCGTTGATGATTTGAGAATGCTTAGGAGCTTGGTGGTTCAACGCTGCAGCTGATACAGAACGAATCACGCCTGCCTCGAATGTGATATCCACCGCTTCTGCGAGGACGGACTCGCCATCGAAAAGCGTTGCATTCTGGATCAGAATAGGTCTCTGTTGGCCAGAGATCGAGTTCCACCGTGGGTTTTCCCGATCCTCTGTTGACTGAGGTGCCTTGTACTGATACCTAGCTTCATAGCATTTGTCCAGCCCTTCGTAAAAGGTCTCTTGACTAGTACTATTGGATGTAGTGATATTGGCGAGATATTTGATTTGAATCAGCATCACTAGGCCTGCTGCCAATAAGAGGGTTCCGAGTAGGAGTTTTCCATGACGAAGACAACGAATGATGGAGGATTGGGCAAAATCACGAGGCGTCTCCAACGGCAGGAAGCCGTTTTTGGTCGCCATGAGTTTCTCTGGGATAGCACTGAAAGCCTTGAGGCGTCGATACCGAACAAAAGAAATGAAAGTGCGTGTTATCGGAAAGTCCACACTGGCGTGAACGTGGATACAAATCGCGTCACTCGGTTACTATCCACTTTCAGACACTTCCGATATATTTCTTATAATTCCGAGTACCACGCAATCCAAGTTTGAGTTATATACATGACTCCATCAGAACTCTCGCCCGAATTTATATATGAGAATGGAGCTCCCGACGGCCTTGGAGGTGGAGCAGCCCAAATAGGTAAAGCTACTTGTGCGCTGCGGGGTCATCCCATATTATGTGATAACCACCGTTTAGGCGAAATTCCAAGCCTCCTTTCCTTTTCGATAATTATTCTCTTATAAACTAGTCTACATATTAGATAGCAGCACTGGGCGAAAATAAAACTCCATTTCTACAAGCACAAGGGATCTTCAAGGCGAAGTGCCAAGAACACGTTCCTTGGGACTAATCGTGTTGAGCTGCAGGTATGTAATGAAAGTAATGAAGGCATTATACAATCTTGGACTGAGAGAGAAATATAATGGTCCGGAGGTCCAGCGTTGTGTGATCTGAAGGTCTCGGTTGTGATCCAGGACCGACAAGCATTTGGAACAATATACTAAAACCCTAATAATTTCTTACAGCATGTTCTCCCTTTGGCTGATCTGTTGGAAAATTTGCGTAATGGTATTTTGCCCTCGGAAGGTCGCAATCTGTGCTGCTGTCCACCTTTTATTGCCTGACGTGAGGGAGACATCTGCGCCTGCATCGAGCAACATCTGGACAATCTCATAATGGCCGGATTCTGCCGCTGCCGAAAGCGCCGTATATCCGTTATAATGCGAGCCTTCAGCATTCACATCGGCTCCTGCATCTAATAGTCGACGGACAATTTCGCGGTGACCGCTAAAAGCCGCACCTTGAAGGGCCGTAAAGCCTTTATACCTTACGGCTGGGGTATTCACGCAGGCCTTGTGATGTAGGAGAATTTCCACGATATCGGCGTGGCCCTGTAATGCAGCAGCTTGAAGTGCGGTGCGACCTGCATTCTTCGCTGTAGGGGTATTAATTTCTGCACCTTGCTGAATGAGCCATTCGAGAAGCTCAATATGGCCACCCTCGGCGGCGGCCTGTAGGGCGGTTCGGCCCATATAGGGATGGGGTGGACAGTTGATATCTGCACCCACAGAGACTAAGTGGCTGACGATGTTGAGATAGCCCGCTCCAGAGGCCAGTACTACTGCTGATCTGCCACCGTTGTTTCCCCCAGGAGCGTTAACGTGTGCCCCTGCCGCTAATAATGTCTCAACAACGGCAAGATGTCCATTATTTGAGGCGGCCTGAAGGGCTGTCTGCCCATAGTAGCCTTTAGGGGGCTCATTGGGGTCCACTTGCTCGCTTAAGAGCCGCTGTACCTGGGACAAGTTCCCTTGTGCAGCGGCAAGCTGCATTGGAGACCATGTCTCATCGTCCCGTTCATCTAGTTGAGATTGCCGGGTTGATACAAGTCGACTTTCCTGCATCTTGAGACTTCTGTTGACGTCTTTCGTGCCATTCGGTGATCATATGTATTGTTGTTTTTGACTTGTTCAACAAATGAATGTATGACTCGAGTGAAGATGGTTATCCAGTTAAACTGGTCTTGTGGATGCTTGGTGTGAGATCAAATTGAGCCCAAAGTAAACCAATGAGAGGCTAGATAACCTGGATACCCCACCTAGCAAAAACAGTCGAAACTGATTCATAAGCGAAGGACCTAGCTAGGTAGCGATTTTTTGGGGAAGCTGATACAGTAGTCGTGACTCTGTGACCGACGGAGTTCCGAACGCAAATCGTAAGATAAGCACTAGGTCTAAGCACTACCGCCAAAACGGGTAATATTCCTTGGCACGGACCTTCTTGTTATGAATCTTTCGTGAGCGTACTCCGTATATTTAGCTGGTAAACCTGGCAGTAATCCTCCGATGATCGGGTGCATCATGGACCACCTGGAGGGGTACTGCCAGGTTTACCAGCTTAATATACGGTGTACGCTTTTATAACGTTAGGCGTTATAAATATCTTCATTTTTGGCACCTGTAAGCCGCCACAAAACATGGAGATATGCATTTGTATGCTCGATTTTAATGCAGACCGCCAGGACAAAGCTAGGGATCAAGGCATCAATATTTACCAGAAACAAGGTTTTAGCAGCTGACCTCTACCGCTGCGTATAGTGCTCTCTTTCCTCCATCTTTACATCTTTATATTCATACACAGATCAACATACATTGTAGCTTCATATACTTGCATGTACACTTCAACAATAACCAAGCAAGATATTCAACAATTGCCATCGGTGCTTCTTTGTCAAAATTAGGTTCCGACAACCTGGCCGTTCATTATGCCCTCAATCTGCTACCACTGGGTAGCCATGTGCAAAATTAGTCAATGGCTTCATTGCCCCTCAAAGGTTCAGATGAAGTGATCCAGAAACGCCCATCAAGACCATGTCCACTTCAACGCAATAGTATACCGAGCAAGAGTATCAAAAGAGTTAAAGTAGTACAGCGCCTGTTCCAGCCTAGCTACCCGTCAAGGCATATTTATTACACCCTTCATCCTCTGTTGCTTCCATTCTCCATTATTTATCAACTCTGTTCAACGGGCTACTTCTTGTTGGGGAGCTGCCTTCTTGACAGAAGGCTTTCCTGAATTAACTCTGAATGCTCTACAGTATACGGGTATCTTGCAAGGTTTTACTGTAATGAAGCATCGAAGAATTGATGATTACATTGTAAATCTAGAAATGCGTGGAGAGAGGAAGAGGGGAGCTACATAAGGGAAGATGGGCGAGTAAAGGAGGATGACAGCTATTCAACTTGTTAAATAAGACAGGAGTACCGCTGTAGTGCTAAGCCTATTATATTAATAAATGGCCACTGGGAATTTCCACGGAAGAACCGCGCCCAAAGACGTAGAACAGCAACACTCATATCCAATGGGTTCGTAATTGGCAGCCTTTTCTCGTCCTCCACGTCCATCGAATCATTTGCTTCCTGCAAGATATCTCTAATCCAAGTCAAGATACGGGACTCGAAGTCTGTTAAGTGCTTATTAATTGATTTTGTAACCCAAAGACCCAGGTCAAGCATAACATGAGACGTGGGCACGTACCGGTGAGTTGTCCCGTTGAGGGTATAAGAGTGAGCAGCCACTTGCTGAGGAAGACACCACATTCCATACTTGCTAAACAGTATCGCACACTGAGAAAGAATGCTTGACTTCGTGCAAGAAAATCAACACCGAGCCGTACTGGGATGGTCATAGCATGGACAGCGTAGATGAGTGCAGGTGTCAATCGAGGACCTCTCTCAGGTAAAGGGCATTGGAACAAACAATCGGCAATAATTGTGGGATCCCGCGTCTCTAATTGGCGAAATGGCCCTATGTTGAGAAAAAGTCGAATATATGCAAGTCCAAGTAGCGAACTTGAGGTGAAGGCGATCGGTCCATTTACATTTAGCGGGTCGAGGCTTGACTCAGGGGCTTGTTGCCATATAAAAGTCCACGATCGAAGAGCGCCTCTGGGACACATTAATTCTGTGCAGCGAGTAGAAAAAGAACAAGAAACCTAGAATACTCACTCCAGCCTATTTGATTCTTCTAAGGGAAGATGAGAAGGCTCATTTGGGAGCCCCAAGGCTAGGTCACGCGCGAGGTGACACCGCTGTATAAGAGCCTGCAGAATGACATAGCTCCCAAGTGGGGAAGGAATAGGACGAAGTGTAACAACATTGTCGGAAAGTTGTAGCATACGATCTAATGCAACTGGAAGTTTGAGCTGCTCTGCCTCGATCCCACGGCGTGCATCTTCCCATTCCTGGGCCGAGGTCGCATTCCACTCTCTTGTGGAACATGGGAGACGAAGAAACATCTCGCTACTCCTGATCGCGATTGTTGCATTGTAGGCCACGCTATATATGTTGATGAAACAAAAAGAAACAAGTTTAGTTCGACGAACAGTTTCGTGTCTGATCCACTCGCTCCATGACTGCTGTCCGCTAGCAGGTGCTTCTCGCGTGCCACATATGCGAAGACATTGTGTTAGTAAGCTGCGGAGACGGAAGGCCTCTTTGAGAAAGCTACACTCTCCCCAGGTACCATAACCCATCAGAATTAGCAAGCATTGCATGGTGTGCATGCGGTCATCATCGATTTGGACTTGAGGCTTGATGGTGTGGGCTGTCCGTGGAATGTCAGTACTAAGTGAGCTCTCGATATCCTCGCAACTGTCATAGGCGATGCGACGTGTAACAATAGATCGCGAAGCGTGAAAAAGTTGATTCGCATTATTATGCTCAAAGCGGTACTGAGCACCGGCAGCCATTATGGCCAGAACACACTCAACTGGTTGCTTTAATAGGTCAAAAGTTGGAATATGAATAAACAAAAGATGCTTATGAAATCCCTCAAAAAAGGAGACCAAATATCGAGTCAGGGCATGTCGGGGGGGAAGAGAGAAGCCTGGTATTTCAGAATGGAAGCTTTCCAGATTCTGGACGATTTTTTGACGTTGGTCTTCCGTTACTGTGAATTTTGAAAGTTTGATCGTAGTTTGTGATGGCTCTATTGACTATTAGCACTGGGTTTGGAGATAATATTTTAATCCCGACTGGTGTATGGGGTGTTAGGCATACCAAAGCTTGGGAATGTGGTCAGGTTTTGAACAACTTGTGAGTTCGACGGTAGCCATGGATGGAAAGTCTGATTATCGAGATCACTTGCGGGAGTTTGCATTCGATCTTCCAAGACTAAGTCATCAGGCGATCGCAAAGTATCGCGTCCAATAAGATCTATTGGTGCCCATTCGGATGGTATTCCCACCGAATTGAGAAACTGAGAAAACTCTGTAAATTGACCTAGTTCCTCTACAGTGATCTCTGATTCTTGTTTACAATTAGTGAAGGCTTCTTCGCAAAATCCGAAGCCCGAAAGAAGGGGTACATACCAGGGTTACGTCCCGCTAACGGAGCATGAGAGAATATAAGATCCGTCAAATGAGGATCCATTTCACCATCAACGCCTGAAACTTGCGCGAGGGAAGATATCGATGGAGATAGAATGTGACCATTTTGAGTGAACGCGGTCGTGGGTTTGGTGGACGAGGAACAAGAAGAGATATGTTGCTCTTGATGAACAATCCGTTCATGACGCCTCAGAAGATCACGGCGGGCAAATGCGGCATTACAGTGGCATTTGAATGGCTTCTCTTTGGTATCTATCGAGACGGGGATAAGCATTTATCTTCATCTGGGGTCGAGGATGCTGACGAGTACGTAGGTGTCGCTGTAAGTGCTCTTCGCGCCGAAAGTGACGACTGCAGTATACACAAGCCCGTTTGGGTTTCCGTGTTGTGTCAATCAGTTGAGAATGAGAGTTCATGGCCGAACGCTCAGAGCACTCACTCATTGGGATTGGGGGCGACGCATATGGTTGTTTATCAGTTATCACAGAAGGTTAGGGGCCAACATACTCTATGCGAGAGAAACCATCAAACTGCTTATCGAAGTCGTTTACATAATAATACTTGATACACCATCGATTCATTTCTTTATCTTCCCTGGACTTGGGGTAAGATGAGTGGTTCCCCACACTTAAGTATTGGAGAGCATGGATATCTCCTATTCCGATTGGCTAGATACCATACTTTGCCAGGCCACCATCCTTGGAGAATACCAAGATGATAACCTGCTCCGAGTTAAAGAATTCGGCTATTAACGAAATCGGCTATTCGATGCTTGATTCATAGCCAATTTATTATTTTTAATAGCTTCCCTGGGCTTGGGGTAAGTTAGGTCCCCGCTTTTAGCAATTGGAGAACATATCCCGATCCTATTCTGATTGGTCAGATATCATGCTTTCTAAGACCAGCGTTGGAGTATACCTAGGTGACAATGACTCTCCAAGTTAAAGAAAGCCCTTGTTTGGAACACAATGGCTTGTCCTCCCAGCCTGCATTAAATCGAACGGCACATAAACTCACCCGCCGTGGAATGTTTTCGACTAAGCAAAAATTTTTTTTTTTTTAAATTTCAACTTCTTCAATCTTCTTGATTCCCCATCAAAATGTCCTACAGCTTTGACGGAAAGGTAGCATTAATCACTGGGGCTGGCAGTGGTATAGGGTATGAACTACTCACTCACTGAGTCAGAACCTATACAGTCAAAATGAGCTAACACGAGACGAAACAGGAAGGCCACTTCTTTCAAACTGAATGCCCTAGGTGCTTCATTGATACTCTGCGATTTGAATAAGGAGTCACTGAATAACCTCAAGACCGAACTTGAGGCAACACGTGCTGATGTTGTGCACGTGTACATACCATTGAATGTAGCGTCCAGCACCGAGTGTGCCTTAGCAATCAATTCAATCCCGAGCCGCACGGGTACAAACAGGCTTGACTACCTGTTCAACTGCGCTGGAATAAATCCCACTGATATTCCAATGACCAACACAACTGACGAGTATTTCAATCATTTGGTTGACGTGAACCTTCGTGGGACCTTCAATATGTGTCGTGTATGCGTGCCACTGCTGGAAGAAGGCTCGGTTATTGTCAATGTTTCGAGCATGTGTGGGCTCAAGGGATATCCAGGATACTCGGTTTATTGTGCCACTAAATTTGCAATTGTTGGATTCACAAAGGCCTTAGCACTTGAACTTGGTCCCAAAGGGATTCGAGTCAATGCTGTTGCGCCAGGTCCAATTGATACGCCAACGATGGTGGGAAACACATCTGGAAAAGAGGAGGACAATGAAAGATTGAAGGGGGGCGTGGCACTCGGACGATTGGGTGATGCCTCTGAGGTGGCGGACGTGGTGGTGTTCCTGTTCAGTCCCCATAGCACATTCATGACTGGAAGTATAGTTGATGTAACCGGGGGTCTCCGATGAGCAGTTGAGCACCCATCCGATGACACTTCAAATGAATTAGAAGTCATAGACCACGACTGAAATGAAATCCAATTGCGAATCTTGTTTCCTTCCTTTCGCTATCAATGGAAGTAGCTAGCGAGGAAAGGAGCGTTCCTAGGCACGACATTCTCACAGACACGAGTCAATTGAGCAGGATCTATGATGAACTACACTCAAACATCATACAAAATGGGTGAAAACGGACTCATTAGGGATTTTGGGGGTTGGAAGTGGGATGAATTCAAAATCTGCAATAATCTTCGATACATCGGGATATATATGGCATGGATGGTCTAGGTAATACGAGTAGTAGTAGCAGCAGTAGTAGGACCATTACTTCCCATTACACCAGTTATAAGAAAACTAGCAGTAACACACGTCAGAGTATTATATAATCGGTGATGGTGCGTGAAAGCTTGTCCAGATACCGATTTCGATGATATGATCTTCTTTTAGATCTTCTTTGTCTATCACCGATGAGATCAGGTCTTATCAAAGCCCTTGACCAGTGGATGAATCTTCCAGCCAATGTATGCTTTACCAATAGGGTGAGAAAGTCCTATCAAAAATTCCCGTTTTTAATAATGGACCGCATAGATAACGCCAGAACAAGCTACCAAAAACATGCTGGGGCTGTTCTACCCCACGAAGCCTCCCCAAGGCTGCGATCCGCAGTGAGGGGTTACCCCGAATCTCCACGTCCTAGTATCTTTCAGCAAGCAAAGGTAAATTCTATATCAACCATCAAGTTGCTGTGTCGATCTACATAAATCTTTTCAAGAATTTTTCTACGTGATAAACTCTGACAGCCATTCAAGCATGCCTCCCAAGCGAGTACTCGTCAGCTATGGTGTAGATGTCGATGCAGTTGCCGGGTGGATTGGATCATATGGAGGCGAAGACTCTCCCAATGATATCAGTCGTGGTTGGTTATAAATACACCATACACGATGTACATTCAGAAATTCGATCTAATTGTCTACTAGGCATCTGGGCTGGTACTATCGGTACTCAGCGTCTTCTTAAGATGTTCGCAAAGTACGACATCAAGTGCACGTGGTTTATTCCTGGCCATTCACTTGACACTTTCCCAGAAGAGATGGCAGCTGTCAGAGATGCCGGACATGAAATCGGCTTGCATGGGTATCTCCATGAAAATCCAGTCGATATGTCACTTGAACAACAGGAGGCAGTGTTGGATAAAACATATAGACAGTTAACGGAGTTTGCTGGGAAGCCCCCGCGTGGAAGCGTTGCCCCTTGGTGAGAGCATCCGGATATGCATGACTAAGGATATTTACTTACTTCACGCCTTTGAATGAACAGGTGGGAGACTAGTGCAGAGGGTACAAAACTACTCCTGAAATATGGGATTGAATATGATCACAGTCTCCAGCATCATGATTGTCAACCGTACTATCCCCGGATTGGAGACAGCTGGACAAAGATTGACTATTCTAAGAAGGCTGAGGAATGGATGAAGCCATTGGTGAAGGGGGGACCATCTGGGCTTGTCGAAATCCCTGGCAATTGGTATATCGACGATCTCCCTCCCATGATGTTCATTAAAAGTGCTCCTAACAGCCATGGTTTTATGAACGCCCGTGACGTGGAATCTATTTGGAAGGATCATTTTGACTACTTCTATCGAGAGTATGATGAGTTCGTCTTCACTTTCTCAATTCATCCCGATGTGTCTGGGCGCCCGCATGTTCTTTTAATGCATGAGAGGTAAGTTTTGACAACCAAGCTACGGATATTTTTGCTGATATTTTTTAAGACTCATTGAATATTTCAAGCAGCACGAAGGTGTTGAGTTTGTCACGATGGAATATATTTGCGACGACTTTAAAAACAAAAATCCCCCAGAGCCTGGCGCTATCTTGCCCGCTGAGAGGGGCGCCGTTTTGCAGTAATGTGGATAGTGTACTTTGTACTGCAGACTTTAATGCCATTCTGAAATCAAAATTAAATCTTGAAATCCACCTTATGCTAGCACTAAACGACATGTATGAAATATGAGATCTTCTATTTAGGTAGAGAGTAACCATAATGAATATTATTATTCGAGTTTAAAAAATATATACATATGAGCTTTTGACATCCCAAACATTTTTCATAGTATATTGAAAGTTAAAATTCTGTTATTTGCTTCGCTTCGCTCAGCAAAATCACTTTGAAATTTCTATGCATAGGGGTTTACGCCCTTTCCATCCAACACTTCACTCAAGAAATCACCGAAAGTGACAGGCTTGAAATCCGGGTAAAGTTCTCGAGCATTGAGATACCCCAGGGACTTTGCACTTTCGGGAGAATTATCGCCTCTGACATACTTGCTGTAGTTGTATTGTGACATATACAGCATGAAAGGACTGCCCATACTTTTGGGGTTGTCATTGTACGCCTTTTTGGCCATGCTTACAGTGGCTTCTATTTCCTGTGCAGTCATCTTTATGATATATCTCATTAGCCACACAATAAATATGGGCATGGGGACGATCTCCCTTCGGAACTTTAATGATGCTCTGAACTTACGTGCTTTCTGTCGATCCTTTCAGCGGAACGTTCTTCCATCATACTGAAGATTTGGTTTTCCGAGAGAACATCGCCGTACGTGTACACGTATTGATTCAATGTTCGATCGTCAGTGGCAATGCGAGCAACAAATCGACCAATATCACGAAGGTCTGTAAGAAAGTTCGGCGCCTCCCCGTCGTGGTGAATGGTGACGTTTGGTGTGATGGGAGTGGCATAGTCAACCCGGCCAGATGGTATCGTTGGAAAGGAAATTTGATACCAGAAGCCGACGTCAATGACGGTAAATGGCAGAGAAAGGTTCTTTAAGTGTTGATAGACCTTTTCTTTCTGTGTGGTACAGTTTCGTTAGACCGTGGTAATGGAGAACAACTAAATTCAATACGGGAATGGTGGATCTTACATCGTCACGAATCAACATCACATCTCCGGGAGGACAGACAGTGGTGAAGCCGCAAGGAATGAACCTTGCGACGCGTGCTTCTTTGGCGGCTGTGGCGAGGGTGATTTGCGCCAACTGTGATCCCGCATCGATGGCACTGATGACTAAATCGAACCCTGAAAGCAAGGAGACAAGGTCCTCAAATGGCCCGTCAAGGTCTCCAACACGGATCGGGAGACCTTTCTGGGCCAGTTCTTTGGCTGTGGGCTTGTCTGCCGAAGATGGACGTATAAATAGCTCTATGGACTTATAGCCTCTATCAGTTTGACGTATGCGGCCTTCGAAGGAAGCTTAACCCACATAATTACCATGTTCGATAAGACCCTCCAAAATCGACTGGCCAGTGTGTCAGTTGCACCAAGAAGAAGCACCTTTTGCAACATTTTTCCGTTGTGTTCTGCTGTGTTCTGTTTGCTGGATAGGTCCAAGTGAACAAGGTCTCTCTTAAATGGAAACCACGACCTCTTCAACTGTTACGGATACATACATATCCGGTTGGATCGTCTCGGAAGTGGAGGATCCGACATCCGGGCTGGATGGCAAAGACTAACCCGAGTACGAAGACTAAAAACAACTTCGTTTAACTTATACCAAAAGGAATCGACTACACTATTTCTCATCTAATCTACATTGTAGTAACCCCCCCCCAAGTATAGGACCTGGCGGTGGTCACCGTAGCCAAATTTATTGTGGGTACCCATGCTTGGCGGACTGGGTGCCCGCCAGAAATATGGAGGTGCATTGATTTGTGTGGTGTACAAAAGCTTCATGTACACTATCTAACATCGATGGGAGAAGCCAGGTACTTTGATTATTGAGGCATGTGTAATAGTAATTCAGGTGTTTATATTTTTCTGCCGTTCCAAAATAAGGCATTATGGCATCAAGATCCTCTAGAATTGGGTTTTGAAGCCTGACCCCTATACCGCTTCGTATACAGTATGTATTTTGAACTTGTGTAAATTATTTAATTGTTCCTACTACTGTTACTCCTACAATATTTGTTCGTTGGCTGCAAGGGCATTTTAGCGAATGTGAAAGAAGTATCGTGATTTAAATATATATATCCAAGGTCGGTACATCGTGCACCTTTCCATCTAATAGTTGTAATGAACGTAGCCACGCCTTCACTATGACTACAGGAGAATTTAAAATGACCCTTGATGGGTGGCCAAGTAAGCTCGAGTCTAAAAGGTTATAGACTTGAAAAATACTATCTAACCCTAAACACGGTGGGGCCTTATCAACTTCCCCAATCAACTTGTTGATCACCATAACTATAACTATAATCAAACAGACTTGGAAAGCTGTCAAATTCTAGTCGAAATCTAACTTTGTCAATTGCCTGTTGTGGTGATCGTGAAACTGAGTACATAGTCACCTGCTCCTGCATAGCCTATAAGAGGCACCAAGGATTGATGGAACCGTAATGCCCAGATTCTTGACATCTTCCCGTCGACTAGATGGTTCTCTCAAACAGGTCGCCAGTCCAGGAAAAAGAAGAAGATCAGCAGCCCAGTGAATTGCCGATTCCTCCACGATTGAGAGTCACTTAATATGCGTTTCCGCCACTACTTCCCCAAGGCAAAACTTCACATGGTTAGCTTTCTACAATAGTTCGGGGTTGTATGACACCCCGCTCGTGCTATTTACACTTGACGCTCACCCGACGTAATAGAGGCTCGGGTAGGTACGTGACTGTCTATACGTTTTAAAATCCTCGGTAAAAAAAGTCAAACTAAGCAAGAGAAATAGATTCCGTGTAACTATCTATCATGTTTGATGACATAAAGAGACATATCTCATCCAAAAGATATATCTACAAATCAAGAGCTTCACTGCGAGACACACCCTTAGGGTCTAGTGCAGGTGCCTCACCGACAGCAACCACACGAAGGCAAACCCGAGGCTCATCGTAATCGTAAGTAGCAGTGTGGTAGACAGCACGGTTATCGAACACGGCCAGATCATCGACCTCCCACTTGACACGGGCCTAAAGAGAATGACGTCAGATATGGTTACATGAAGTATGTTCGAGTTCTGGGAATGCTTACCTGAAGATCATGATTGTCGGTAATCAGTTTCATCAAGTAACTCTTGATGTGCTCGCTTTCATCTGGAGCCAGTCCATTGACAGATTGCAGATGGTGACCAACACCAAAGATGGATTTCCATCCGGTAACCGGGTTGGTTCTCACAATGGGATGCTCAGCAGTCAGCGACTGGTCAACATTCCTGGGGTGGCCTCTGGCGACCTGGTAGAGGTGGGTGTGGTCAGGGTTAGGACTGTAACCAACAGGGGAGAAAGTGCCAGTAAGAGTTTCCAGGAAAGCTCTCCAGGGGGGACTGATACGGTCGTAGACCTCATAGGCGCTGGCGAAAACAGTATCACCACCGGTTGAAGGGCGAACTTTGTTCACTAGAGTGGTGTAGTCGGATGTGACGCGCTCAAAGGCGATATCCGAGTGCCAGCCATCGGCAACGCTTTGTTTCTTCAACGTCTTCTTGCCGGCCACCACACCACTCTGCTTGGAAAGCATGTTTGCTGGGTTGCGGGCAATTGTAGACATTTCCAGATCGGGCTTCTCGCCCTCCTTGTGGACGGTGTGGTTGCTGTGGTTGTTAATTTGTGATACCATGACATGAGTGGTGGGTACATACATGGGATGGATATGAACACCAGACTCCTCAGGCTTGCCAGTCAATTGTCCAAGCCGATGGGTAAAAAACTTTTGCTGGTCTGCAGTGAGGTTCTTCTGATTGCGGAAGACGACAAGGCCACGGTGGGAGACTGGGAGTAGTGAGCTTTCATTCTAACTTGGAGCTAGAGTTGGTGGGTACTCACTGGTAATAGCTAGATCACGAAGGAGCTCGTCCGCATTGGGAGCGTTAAGGACTTCGGTCAAATCAATGTCATGATACACTCTGCCGAGGATTCGAGTGAGGTCCTCGTACTTCCAGTGGTCAATGGAAGTACCCAACGTAAGTGGAGCAGGGAAAGAAGTGATGAAGTCTTCGATAGGCATTTTGAAATAGAATGAAGTATCGAACACTGTAGATTCAACCGAAAGATGATGTGTAGAAGATAGAGAATATGATGAGATTGTCTGGGAGTTTGGTGGGTTATCTGGGTGCCTTTTATATCTTTCCCCTCGCCCTGTAAATCACTAAGCAGTCTTCTTGAAACCCCCGAGGGAGGAAAGAAAAGGAAATCAAGCGTCAGCTCGAGTTTACCCCACCCCTGGTCATCGGAGGATGGCGATAGAGAGGGGGAGTATGTTTGGATATCGCTGGAAGTAGACATTGATGTTTCCTGGCCGAGGGCCAGAAGCCTGACCGATATCCCTGCCTGCCTAGTGGACGGGATGTGACATTCTGCACAAAATCTTAGTGTCTGCATGTCTGCAGGGGTTGGAATACCACTTGAAATATCCACATTTAATGCATACTCTATATTTGGTTAGCGTTGAAAATGCAATGTATGTCTCATCACAATACCAATACTGTAATAACGACATTACTGGCGATGTGCTCTAATATCCGGTATCGGCAGATTACAGACGACACCGAGATAAATTGCTAGTACGGAGTACTCTCGTCAACCATCACCAGTGGGTTCCACAGCAGATCATATAAGACTATTCACCGTGGAGCTACTAAATTGGATGAAGATTGTACCTTTATATTCTCTTCTAACAATTGACTCCAACACTTTCTTCCATTTACGCGGGCCTTGAGTTGTTTTCTTTGAGCATGGCCACCAGCACCGCCAAAGGGCCAGTCGTTGTCCATGATCAAACTAACCTGCTGCCACGCACGCAGCTCCTGGTGGTGTTTGGTACTCTCGCCATCGCGTTTCTTATCGCTTATGCAGATCAGAACGGAGTGGGTGTGGCATTACCCATTATCGCGCGGGAGCTGAATGCGCGAGATACAATCAGCTGGGCAGGTACTTCCTCTATGATCGCGAATACAGTGTTTCAGGTGCTTTACGGGCGCCTGTCTGATATATTTGGCCGCAAGAAAGTGTATCTCTCTGCGGTACTGCTGCTTGCCATTGCGGACATCCTCTGCGCAACTGCGCAAACTTCATGGGCCTTCTACCTGTTTCGCGGCCTAGCAGGTATTGCCACTGGCGGAATCAACTCATTAACAATGATGATTGTATCCGATATCGTTACTTTACAGGAACGTGGTCGATACCAGGGCATCCTGGGCAGTTGCATCGGGCTTGGGAATACGATTGGTCCCTTCCTGTCAGCTGCATTTGCGCAGCACTCCACTTGGCGCGGATTCTTTTATCTGATCAGCCCTCTAATGCTGGTTTGCGCTGTGGCTTCGTTCTTTTTGCTACCATCCTCCATGCCAAAAGGGAATGGCCTCGCGAGAGCGAAATTGATCGACATTTGGGGTTTAATATCTGGATCTGTCGCAATCATCTGTATATTGATCCCTATTTCCGGCGGTGGGTCTTACTTTGCCTGGAACTCTAGTCTCGTTATCGCCATGCTTGCCGTCGGTGGCGTGGCCACGATTGCATTCATCCTGGTGGAGTGGAAGGTTGCTAAGCTGCCAATGGTACCGTGTGAGTTTGACGCTATTCCTGCTGCATAAACCTTTTCGGGCACCGTCGGAGAGCTAATTATATGTTTAGTATCCATGTTTCGCACCCCTGCCGTGACTGTCATTTTGGTGCAGAACCTCCTCTTCGGCTACTGTTACTATGCCGAGCTATATTTTCTACCCTTGTATTTTGAGAACGTGCGCGGGGTGACTCCACTGGTATCTGCAGCTCTCCTCGTGCCATTGGTGGTCGCACAGATGATATTCTCTGTTGGCTCCGGGTTCTACATCTCGCATTACTCACGTTACGGGGAAGTGATCTGGTTTGGTTTCATCTGTTGGACAGTGTATGTGGCCCCAATTTCCTTATCTCTTTTTCTCCTCTGCTTACATGTGATGTGGCATACAGTGGAGCTAGTGTACTTTGCAACCTGAAGCAAGACACGTCTCTAGGAGTGATCATCGTGGCCCTGATCATCCTTGGTGTTGGCGTTGGCAATGTGTTCCAACCCTGCCTAATTGCCATCCAAGCACACTCACCGAAGGATCTGCGCGCTGTGATCATCTCCAATCGCAACTTCTTCCGTGCACTTGGCGGTGCCGTTGGCTTGGCATGTTCCAGCCTTGTGCTTCAGACGTCCTTTGGCAAGGCACTCCCAGACGATCTTAGCTACCTCAGTAGGAACAGTTATGTGTTGCCCTCGCTCAGTAACTTCTCTACAGCGGATCAGAATTCTATCCGGGCCGCGTATGCCAAGGCCAGTCGCACTGTGTTTATCTCTATGGCGCCTATCATGGGATTCTGTCTGGTCATCTGTGTATTCATTCGAGACCAGGGATTACAGCGGAAGGAGGAGACTGCGCCCCCGCAGCCAAAGGAAGAGACTGCACCCCCGCAGCCAATACCGATTACAGAAGATACCACATCGAGTGCCGAAAAGGGTATCCTGAAGAATTGACCGAGGCTGGATAGATGGATACACGAGGGAACAAATGAGGAAATCTCGGAAATGGCCGTATTCCCAAGCGGGTTATCACCATAAGCCGGTAAATTTGATGAATTACTACTGTTATCTTACCAAAAATAGATCATCGAGAAGAATGTATTTAACTATATCTCGTATTATATTTAATGCAAATTTTAGGCCAAACAATTCATAAGGATGGGATTGGACATTGCAATCAGGTGCATAAAACTTCGGCTTCATGTGGGGGGAAAAAGTACGATTATTCTTGCCACTCGACCAGATCAAAAGAGATAATCTCTAATTCTGGCCGGGGACTATTTCTTAGTGCTGACCCTTTAACCCCCCGGGGCCCCGGGCTGTTTCTTAGTGCTGACAGCTTATTCCCCCGATGAAACCTCATGTACAGGCGGCCCGCCACCCATGAGCACCGAAGTTAATATCATATTTTCCAATGTAATATTTCCACCCCGAAGGATTGTCGTATCGGGATCGGCGAGCTGATCGGCAAACTGATCGGCGCATATTTTTGAGTAATATATGTAATTAGTCATGTAAATAATCATTTACTCTTTATCTTAGCAAAGCTATTCTATTCCTTGAATGAAGAAACACTATCCTACCAAAAAGTGAAGTCTGGCCAACTTCTCATTATTCATATAGAGTAACCTAAAAAGGTGCATTTAGTTTGTTATATCTAGGTTTCACTGTTGCCTGTTTGTCTTGAACCTGTGGAAATGGCTGTAAAGATTGGAAACAGAGCAAAAAATAAGCCAAAACACAATAAAGATAGGCAGATAGATAGATAGACAAAGGCCGCTCATTTGAAGGATACAGCCTATGCCCGTTTGCGGGCTAGGACCAAAGCACTGCCCCATTCCACATCAACCTCAATGGCTTTCCAATTCACGCTATTTTGGGATCCCTCTCCCCGTAATGCAGGCTCAGCTTCCCGAATAGCATCCATCATCCGGTCGATCACATCGCCATCACCACTTCCATCCTCTGCACGACGCTTCTGGTCCGGGAAGTGCTGCTGCCACTTGTGGAAGGAGCTCCACGTGCGCATGTACTCCTCCATTGCGCCTAGAGTCATACGGGCACTCATGAAGCGTGTGCCCTTGCCACTGCCGATACCCTGCGTACTAGGTTCGTATTCCACGCGCGTGATATCATGCCATTCAGCAGCGGGGGGGCACCACAGCTCGCAGCTTCTCCTGCACAATGCGTCGTCCAGGCTGCTGCCAGTAGCTTCCCAGAAGTGTTGGATCTTTCTGGTAGGCAAAGTGCTCGATGATCTCACTCGCTTTGGGATGCGACACCAAAACGTGGTCCTTGTACCCCCAAAATGCCAACGTACCCCCGGGCTGCATAATGCGCGCTAGCTCAGGCCATAGCTTCGGGTAGTTGAACCAATGAGACGCCTGCGCGGCAGTCACGAGGTTAACTCGTCGGTCAAACACAAATGGGGAAGACTCTGCTGCAGCTTGATGGAAGCTGACGTTGGGATACTTGGCAGCGGGACCCGTTGACAATTCACGGGCTTGGGCGATCATCCCCGCTGAAGGATCGGTGCCGATCACACGGCTAAAGTGAGGGGACAACTCGCGGGCTACCAGACCGTGGCCGGTGCCAAGGTCTAGAGCCAGCGTGCGCTCGGCATCTGGAGAGGCGTTGTGGAAGGATAGGACTGCTTTGTACAGTTCGGCAGGGTAGGTGGGTCGAAAAGCTGCGTAGCCTTTGTGGCCAAAGGACTTGCTCCTATTCGAAAATGGTTAGAACTTATAGAGATACTTTCTCAAAGAACCCAAAGAATTCAACCAGGAGATAAACAGGTCAAGCCAAGAATGGCAGACTCACAAGAAAGACGCCATGATTCTTCTGCAATCGTTGGTGTTTGTTTTTGTTTTTTGTTTTTTGGTAGTAAAGAGGGGCCAATGGATGTGACAGGGAATTATTTAATGAGGGGAGAGCAGATGGGTGAGAAATTCAAAACGGAATAAGATGAGGGAAAACACCAATGAATACGGGGTGCTAGTCTCCGAATTCTCCTCACGGCGACTCCGATCCTGATCCTTCGCGCCGTCTGCACGGATACTTCCAAGGTTGAACTAGGTCGGCGCCCGAAGCTAGTCCAGGGGGTATCGAGATCGACAGGCTGACTTGTCACAAAAACTTTCCCTGGCGCAATTGCATTCAACAACGGGGGACCATGTGGGTGCAGTGGACATAACGTTACGTTGAGAGGAGCCCTGAACAGTATTTATGTATTGCCAATTTTCGCGGGATGTACCGTTCCGTCCCGTCCAGCCCTGCGCCGGACATATCAATAGCTCCGAGTACCGAGCCGATGGGCAATTAAGCACGTGGAAACCGAGAGTCTGTCAAATATCCGGTAACGGAATGTATGTAAAGAAACGTATGGTCCGAAATCCAGAATACTCAAATGTTATGATACGAGGCCTGTCAGATCAGGGATACAATCCCACCATTGAGAAGAATTTCCGTGATTTTTAAACCAAAAATCAAGTTAGTTGGGAATCTAGTTGATCTTCTCGCTATATATAGCCTCACATATTGTCTCGATGATACAACAAACTTTTGATCTACTGCAATCTATCGGAATCGAATTGCTGACCATTTTATTCCAAGGTTAGCTGAGTATACGACCCCTATATAATCTTGTGTATACTAATCCGGTTGAATAAAAGGTATTTGCTTGCACCAGGGGATCTTTACTGTTTGAAATGCAAGTAGTATTTCCTCTTTTATCAAAAAAACTCCTCGCTCATTCTGTAAAGTGCTTCGCCAGCAGCACTCGATCATAAAAAGAATCCAAAATGGCTACGATGAAACAACCTGTGGCTGGCAAGACCATATCAGCGGCACCTGGAACCACGGCCATCTACGGTATGAATCCAAAAATTGACATATAGCGAATCATGCTAAAGTCTACCTTCCACCCACAGGCGCATTGGCAGGCATGATGGAGGCGTTGGTCTGTCACCCACTGGGTAATTCAGTCTCCTCGACAAAATAATGTGCTCTGTACCAATTAATGTTGACCATGATCAGATACTATCAAAGTCAACATGCAAACCAAAAACACGACAGCAACCCTACTTCCACCGAAACCCGGAGGTATGAGATGACACCTTTTGCATATTTCTAGCGCAGGTGACTCTAACGAGAAATGGGCGGCGTTTTAGACCAAACACTCGTGAGAACAATGCAATCAATCTATCATCAGAGCCCAACGGCGTTCTACCGCGGTCTTGGGGCTGTTCTTATAGGAATCGTGCCGAAAATGGCCATCCGATTCACCAGTTTCGAAACATACAAGGCTATCCTCAAAAGACCTGACGAGGAAGCTCTCACCTCAGGAAGGTTAATCCTTGGTAGGTTGAACCCAAGATCTTAAAATAAGGAAATAGTATCCTGATACCTTTTGTCAATTCAGCCGGTTTAGCTTCAGGAATTACAGAAGCAGTTCTTGTTGTAACTCCAACAGAGGTTCTCAAAATTCGCTTACAGACTACAAAGGCACGAGATGGTGTCCCTGGGGCCGTGGCTGTGGGATACAGAAATACGCCAGAGGCGCTGTACACCATTGTACGGACAGAGGGTGTCAAGGTCTTATGGTCGGGCATAGGATTAACAGCGGCTCGCCAAGGGACAAATCAAGCTGGTAAGTGTCACAGTTTGCTTTCCAAGTCACGTTGTTATAAAAGCTTTTATTCTGATATTTCTTCATCTAGTGAATTTCTTCGCCTACACGAGAATACGTCAGGCTCTAGTGGACAACCAGCCGCAGTACCAATCTTCTGGTCTACCATCCTGGCAGACTTGCTTGAATGGATTTCTAGCCGGATCGCTTGGGCCTTTAGCCAATGCTCCAATTGACACATTAAGTATGTTACATCTACAATACACAAAACCCTTGGCTGATGATGATTTTAGAAACCCGGATTCAGAAAAGTGGCAACGTAGGAAATGAATCGGGACTGTCTCGTCTCCTTCACACGTTCCAGGATATCGTGCGTCATGATGGTTATAGGGCTCTATACAAAGGGATTGTACCTCGTGTTTTGCGAGTGGGGGTTGGTCAGGCTGTTACCTTTAGCACGTATGAGGCGTTGCGACGATGGTTGTAATAGATAAGGTCGTTGAACCCAAATTATCACACAAGTATCCGATAACGTCTTGGCTCTAGGAAATAAGATAGAAGAATTCAGTTGATCCATAAATTATCTTAATTCCACCAATACAATTCGCCCATAAAGAACCATTCGGACAGTCTAAGGCGCGCTCAAACAAGCCGTGCTAACGAAAGTATGTATTTGAAGACAAATTTAATCCTGGGATTGCGAATAGTGATCTCATCGGACTTTGCCTATATGGGAGATACCAGCAGCCACTAAAACCAGCGGGAATGGTGATAAGAAATGGCCGAGTGAAACTGGCTTACAGAAAAAAGTACGACGATTGGGCCGACTGGGCTTGGCAGGAGGGGGCCACGTCGTGGTGGATACTGATGAAACTAGCGGAATCTTGGCACTGTACGAAGTAAGCAGGGTCCCGCTCTCAGAGGGGACCCGGTTCGGCCCGTTTGTAGATCCCTTCCGATCTGGCCTGAAGCTTAGGATAAGCAAACTGGAGCCTCTCCTATAGGTCACAACCTTGGAAGTTGTTGTCGCTACTCCCTACCGTTTTAGTGTGTGGATACGATACCCTGGTATTTTATTTTCAAATTTTTCAACTTGATACCGAGTTCATCAGTACAAACATACTACATTCCCATATTTGAGTGAGCGGTAATCGGCACCTGTAATATCCGAGATCGGCAATATCACTTTCAACTGTAATGCATGCATGCTGAAGGTGTTCTGAATAAATATAAGTACTGTGACATGACGCTTCGCATCTGACGCTCAGCTCAAGCTCGCGTTATCAGGGGTACTCATTTTCAGAAACACACAAGAACCGGGTCCCACTTTATCATGGATTTTACATTGCAGCCTGGCGAAAGCTTCCCAGACAATGTCGTATTCCAGCAAGACCCCCATCTCCCTACTTCTCATAGTAATGCTCAAATTTATTCTAACACCCGCTCCTCGATGGCAGATACATACCCTGGGCAGAAGAAACAAGCTCTATAAGCTCGTGTGGGATTGCAATCCCTTACAATGCTTCGAAAGAATGGTCTGACAAAAAGGTCATTTTGGTTTCTGTTCCTGGTATAGTCTTCGCTTACTTATAGTTGTTCCTACGTTACATGCGTGCAACAAATTAATTGACCCATCTTCAATAGGCGCCTTTACCAGGACATGCTCCGGTCTTCACCTCCCCAATTACATTGACAATCTTCCTGCACTTAAGGGAAAAAGGTGTCGATTTGGTCGCGGTTATTTCCTTCAATGATCCAAATGTCATGAGTGGCTGGGGGAAAGCAAATAATGTTACGAATAACGATATTGTATGACTTACGAGACTGGCAAATAGTACGGCGCTAACGCACTTGACATCAGATATTCCTCTCTGATCCAAATGTCGGGTTCTCAAAGAGTATTAATTGGGCCGAACCATCGGGCCTTCGGGGACTTCGTTATGCCATTGTCATCGACCATGGAAAGGTTGTCTATGCACAGAAAGAGACCGAACGAGGCAAAATCCAGGTAATATTTTCCGTGTGATTTCTGGCACTACTTCCGGTATTGAGTATAGAGCTAATCCAAGATGTCCTTTGTTTGCGCAGAACTCGGGGGTCGAAGCCGTTCTTCCGTATTTATAGATTTTGTGGTTGTCTAGTTTGTTAGCCCGGATTGATCTAAGGGGAAGCCTGATTTGTGACTCCATTCATCATCCCTGAGAGTTGACTTGAATTATCTACCTATACAGAGAATCTCCAAAGCTTTTGGCATACAAAGTCCATCTTTCCATTCCCATTATTACAAAATAACCATTTGGCCAAAAAGAGATAAAAATATACGGCAGCAAGGATATATCATTGCCTTTTAAACAATTATTCCTCTGGCACCTGGGTAGCGTAGTAAAGCGAATGGGACGTCTGACCGGAATTCGCTCCTTGACTTGCCAAATAGCTTCAAAACAAGACGGCTCACCTCACTTCGAAAGTGAGCTTGATACGATTTCTCCGGAAGGCATTCGCGTCTTTCGTTTCCCAAATGATCTAACGTCTGAGGTTTGGCCAGATGGAGTTCCTTACTCGCAGGGATTTGGGGGGCTTGACGTTGAAACCTTTGTAGTAAATGTCTCATACAGAGACACTACCAGAGTACGATTCATGTCTGTGCCCCTGCTGGAAATACAAACATCGCCTCTATCATGACTCATATTGGTAACTATCTCTGGAATCCAAGGGCGTGACGTGACGTGAATGAAAAAGTCGTCTCGCTCAATAAAATAGTTGCGATTCATAATTCAGCAATTTGATATGACCCAAGACTGTTTTCCGGCAGTTCCCTGTCACAGATAGACTCTATGCCTTCCATTTATACGTCATCATGGCTAAGTGCATTATTTTTGTGGAAAGGACATCATGCATGTGCAGAAAGAACATGAGCATGGTGAGAATTATTAGATGAACAACAAATTACTACTTCTATACCTAATTGCTTATTATTAACAACTATAGGATTATTATTTAAAATATCAGCTGCACCATTCCATTTTTGATCACCTGATGTTTATGATGGAATAGTTACTACTTTTGTAGCTATTATAGCTAAATTTTCTATATTAACTTTATTATTACAATTAGTCCATTATACAAATAGTATATATATTACTACACAATATACTTGAACTACTAGTTTATTAATAAGTTCATTATTATCTTTAATAATTGGTACTGTATTAGGTTTAACTCAATTTAGAATTAAAAGATTATTTGCTTATAGGATATTTCCATATTAATAGTTTCTTAGCTTTAAGTTTAACTATTACTTTATTCTCATTTGCTGGTATTCCACCTTTAATGGGATTCTTTGCTAAACAGATGGTATTTTCTGCAGTTTTACAAGAAGGATTTATCTTTTTAACTCTTACAGGTGTATTAACTAGTGTTATAAGTGCTGTATATTATTTATTTATAGTAAAAACCATGTTCTTTGATGGACATTCTTATACATATTTTAGTAGCTTAAAAGATTTAAGAATACCTGCTCTTATTTTATAAAAAAATAAAAGGTCTGTCAAAAAGTAGTCGCAGAGTAATTAGTATTGTGGGGCAAAGGGTTTCTTGTGGTTTTTTGTATGCAGACTGGGTGCTTAGTAGAGATATATATCACATAGGATAAAAAACTTCATTTTCCAAAATACGGTTCTAACCACCGTGCAAAATAGAGACATGACAGTATATGCTATAAATATATAGCTTCATCTTTATGGATGCCCAGGTATAGTTCTACGCTAGCTAACTAAGCAAGCACGGGTGAAATTCAGGTATGGATAAGGCCAAAATCAGGCATTAAGGCAGAAAATTAATGCTTGGTACCCCGCGAAATGCCCCTCAAGCTTTTGCGCATCCATGGTTCAGACCCGAGGATCTGGAGCGGGCTCAATTCCGACCAACAGTACTCTGCAATGGGATTAAGAAAACTGTTGAGGGTCCTACATCCCTCCGACAGAAAAGAGCGTTCGACCTCACCGTCGCTGTCACCGTCGCCGTCGCTCGCAGCAGCGGGCACCACTAACAGCGATGCTATAACGCCTGCGACTAGCACTCATAGTAGCCCTGATGCCAATGTTACTACCGGGGACAGCACGCCCAGGGATTTATGGGATGAAGCCTACATTATTCTTAGCAGAGAAGACCCGAAGCTGAAGCAGCGATACGAAGAGATTTTGTTGACTCAGGACGAACTAAATGGCGAACCAAGCCAGAATCATTTAGGTGCGTTCATATCCACCCTATCACTAAATCCGAGGTCTGACGCGACCGTAATTTAGCGCCTGCTGGTTCGTATCAACGAGAAGAGCAGCTACGACAAATAGCGAAGAGCAAAGTCGAAGAAATCGATTTGGCCAAATGGCAACCCAAGATTGGTAGCCACTCTGTGGATATCGGTGGCGGGTTTGACCAAGCTATCAAGATCGTGGTTGCAGCCAAGGAATTTGTATCGTCGGCTGTTAGCTCTGAGCCTCATGCCGCATTGGCGTGGGCTGGAGTGTGTATTTTCTTGCCGGTATGTTCTAAAGCTGGCAGGTACGTTGTGATGGGTCTAATATTGTATCCCTAGCTTCTTTTAAGCCCGTCAGAGCAGAATTCGGCTGCCCATGATGGCCTTGAGGCTATTCCCCTTGCTGTGCGCAGATTGAGGGTCATGGAGAGACTTGTCAGGCGAGGAAAATCTGAACTGACTCGGAGTAGCTATCACTCTGATAGCTTGGAACTTGTCAAAGACTTTGAAGATACAGCTGTCGACCTGTATAAGACAATCCTTGAATTCCAGATCCGACTAGGGAGGCAGTATTCAGATAATTGGGCAAGACGCTATGGACGAGATGTTTTCAAAGCCGATGACTGGACGGGTCTGACTAGTCGGATCAAGAGTCTTGAGGTAAGGTGCACCGAGATCGCTCAGGATTTGAGTCGCGAGCGGATTGAGAGTGCTCTACAAATCAGTGAGAACAACATGCAACGCGGTCTGCAGGAGGTCCAGCAAGAGTTGAAGAAAACGACGCGTGGCATTGAGCAACAGACTATGATGCAGTCTGCTTGGCGTCAGACTGACGAGGAGCGCAAGTGTGTACAACTGTTTCGACAATCAAATTCATACGAGAATCAGAAAGGCAGAACGGCAAAACGGGTTTTGGAAACGGGGAAATGGTTTCTGGAGAACGACAAATTCATCGATTGGCGAGAGAACGAAGGGCCTGATCTTCTTTGGTTGTCTGCTAAGCCTGGTTCAGGCAAATCTGTTTTAGCAAAGACAATCATTGATGAAGGTTTAGCTACCTTGAGCCATCAGAAACAGTCTGCTGTCTGTTATTTCTTTTTCAAAGATATCTCCCCGTACCAGAGAAGTGCAGTAAGCGCCATATCTGCGATCTTGCACCAACTTTTCTCGGCGTTCCCATCTCTCGTGAAACATGCTCTCATGCCCTATCATTTAAATGGAAAGGAACTACTCGGCTTGTTTGACGAGATGTTTCGTATCCTCTGTCAAGCAGCTACTGATCCCACCGTCGGACAAGTTGTGTGCATACTGGATGCCCTCGACGAATGCAGTGACGAGGATCGATTCCCTCTGATTGGGGCGATCACCAATTTCTACCATGAAGCAACCGATTCTTTGAGCGATGACGATCAGCCCAAGTTGAAATTTCTCCTAACTAGCCGTCCTTATTCCCACATCCATGCCCAATTCCATGATCTGATGAAGGAGGCCCCTACAATACACTTGTCCGGGGATCATGAATCCGAAAGGATCAAAGACGAGATCGATCTGGTCATTGATGTCAGCATTCCAAAACTTGCTGCCGAAAGGGGATTCGACGAAAGGGCAACAAAATACCTTCTTGAAGAGTTGCACACAGTCGACAACAGAACGTATCTATGGCTGAGCCTGATTATGGACGAGATTCGCCTTAGCGAGCGACCTGCCAATAAGCGAGAACTGAAAAAGATTATCTCAGGCTTGCCGCGAAGTTTGATCGAAGCTTACGATAAAATCCTAAAGAGATGCCGCCACCCAGACCTCGCAAGACAGCTCCTGCATATTATCCTGGCTGCCCGGGAGCCTTTGACAGTCGATGACATGAAAATAGCCACTGCTCTTGCGAGTGACTTTGAATATCGCTCATATGACGAAATTGGGATCGAACGGTCAGACGCTTTCGAAATGAGAATAAAAAATGCTTGTGGTCTTATGGTGACCATTGACGATGGCTCTGTATTTCTCATCCACCAAACGGCCAAAGAGTTTTTGATTGAGGATGACGATGCGACTCAACATAGTGAAACTTGGAAACACAGTTTTAGTCCGCTGGATTCGGAAATCTTACTTGCAAAAATCTGCATGACTCTGCTTTCCTTCACTTATTTTTCCGAAACCCCACTCACAATAGATGACGACGATGATGAACCTCGCAAGGGAGTTACTGAATATACCGAGAATAATGCATTCCTAAAATATGCATCAATGAATTGGATGGAACACTCTGACAAAGGCGAACTTGATAACAATCCAAAATGGATGTCGTTGATGTTGTCTCTGTGCAGCGTGGATAAACCGGCATTCAGGACATGGTACACAATTTACCGACAATTGGGCGAAAACCATTTCCCTTCAAAGACGACAAGCTTGAATATTGCCGCTCATTTTAATTTTTCGAATGTGCTTGCTTCTCTTCTGGCCAGTGGCGAGAACCCAAACGAGCCTGATGGATACGGGGCAACACCCCTTGCACGCTCCGTGCGGCAATCTAAAAGGGCCGTGGAGCTTCTTCTAGATGCCAACGCAGACATCAATGCCTACGGATGGGAGGAGCCGTGGCACGATGAGGTCAACGACTCAGGCAGCGAAATTGAAGTCAAGCCGTTTGCAGGTACCCCTCTGGTCATGTCTGTATTTGGCGGTGATCCCGATATGGTCGAATTTCTGATCCAACGTGGAGCGGAGATAAACTTTCCTCCGCATAATTCCCTAACGCCACTATTTGCAGCATATATCGTGTCCATTGTCAATGATGAATCAAATGCAACAGAGGTTCTCCACCTCCTGCTTCGCTCTGGGGCGAATGTTTGTTTCGAGATGAAGCCTGAACATACCTCGACAGGGATGACAGTTCTTCACTATGCAGCAATGCAGAATGATCTAACGACATTATCAATACTTCTTGGCTCGGAAACTGCAGATGTCAACTTCCAGCTTCAGGAATTACCAAGCAATAAGCCAACCGAAGGCCAGTCGAGCGTTGATGGGCGAAAGATTTCAAGCAACAAGCGCACTTTATCACAGGACAGCTCTGGTTCCGACAGTAGAAGAGGCACCAGTGTGTCCAGTTGGGATGAGAATTTAGAAGTAGGTAGTGAAGCTGACGACAACGCTCTTGTACCCGACAATGATTCAAGCGCTGGCTTCAATAGTGATGACCACCAATCTGACTCATCTACGTCAACCCACTCGTCACTGGGTGAAAGGTACATGATAGGGGCCACTCCCCTACACCTCGCAGCGAGAGGTGAATTTGTGAAGAATGTCAAGCTTCTTCTCGAGCATGGAGCCGATCCGCATATCAAGAATGCTGATGGGTATACGGCCATGGATTTAGTTCTTGAACTGGTCGAGGACAGTGATGATGAGGCAGCATGCACTTCTAAGAAAACGGAAATCACAGAACTGTTGGAAAGATATAGTCACGTTTCCTCTGATGGTGAAGAGTCCCTCCCAGGAGTTAGTTCGATTGATGGCTAATAGACTATCCTCTTAGGGTTATCAGGCACTGCTGAGACCGCAGCCCTAACTTCAACCAGCACGGCCGAATGATCTCCCGACATTATGGGTAGAGGAGGACTACGGGTACATGGTTTTGGTGCGGGACACTATTCCACTAAGCAATGCCAGGTGTGTCCATCGCTAGCGGTACTTCTGCACTAGCTCATATAGTATTATAAACATATATCCCATGATTTATCATATTATACCAAACTAGCAATAGGCCCCCTGGGGCCTTAAACAGGACCCGAGCTTCATATTATTTCCCCCATATTACTATAACACGAAGTAAACATTCTTAGAGGGGAAACTTCTGCTATATCATAGACCAGCATCGGAAGCATACGGTGTTAATTCGTGATTATAAATCATCGGATAATAACGACGGACTATCTATCAGCATCTCCAGTTTCTTCTTCGTTTACGACCCCACTCAACTCGATACCCCGAATGTCGGGGTAAAAACCCCAACACTATGAAGACAGAAGAATATGCCACGGAATAACCGAGCACTGTTTATACTTCCTTCGTGTATTACAAATACATAGATCAATGCGTTTAGCTCGTGATTTGTTCATCTTATACCAGACTGTTAATGGTTTAATAAAGCGTTATTGACTACTCCTACCACAAGTATAACATAATCCCCAAACCCCAGGGCATATTACTGGAGAGGAAGTGGTGATCGAAATTGATCGGTTTGTATTCTGATTCCTGGTCCGCTTTCATTCATATTTCTAACCCCAAGGGGTCCCAAAAGGACAGAAATGCGAAACCAAGCCGAATCAACGCTACCCAGCGTTTCCGGGTCACCCAGCAGCCGGAAGATCAACATCCTCCTGGTAAACCCTAACTCTACCGAGTATATGACGAATGCGTGCTTGCAAGCCATTGCGCCAAATCTCCCCTCGGACGTCATCGTGTATGGATTCACAGCTCCTCGCCCGGGGCCTACGGCGATTGAATCACAGACCGATGCAGTGCTATCCACCGAGGCCTGCATTAGAGCCATAGCACCAATTGCGGGAAATTACGACGCCTTTCTGGTTGCTTGCTTTCGAGCGCATCCTCTTATTGGCGTGTTGAAAGAAGAATTCTCCCAGCCCGCCCTTGGAATCATGGAGGCGGCATTATATTCTTCGCGCATGTTAGGTGATAGACTAGGCATTATCTGCACATCCGCACGCTCTTTGGTGGCGCATAGACATGCTGTTTCAGCCTATGGATTCTCGGAATACTTTGCTGGATGTGAATCAGCCCAACTAGGAGTTTTGGAACTCGATTCGAAACCAAAGGAAGAGGTCCATGCAATCATCTCCCAGAAGGTCGACCGGCTTGTGAAAGAGAGAGGTGCGGATTGTGTTCTGTTAGGCTGTGCGGGGATGACAGAGATGCGGACTATTTGTGAGGCTGTGGTTGAAGGAACTGGGGTAAGGGTGCTAGATGGAGTGGGGCTAGGTATTCAACTCCTGGTGGGCTTAGTTAGAGAGAACATGAAGACTGCTAAAAGCGGGCTGTACAAAGACTCTTCAGCCGATAGATCCAAGCGCGGGCAGAGTTGGCTTTGAATGGGAGGGCAGACCATAAGCATGTGTAGATGCTGTAAAAATCGAGTAACCTATATATCAGACCCAATGCCCATGGAATATTTGTTCCCACGATTTTTGCGACTAGATGACCAAAATCGATACATACAATCACTCTTGCGTGCTGCTATCGATATTGCTTTCCAGTAGATCAGCATATATTCTTAACGCCCCAGCAAATATGCCCATCATCTCAAAGACATGTGTGCCTTTTAATATATTAGAGAGTAATCGAACCAGTATCACTCCTATCCGGCGTAGTTCTTCGCTTCCAATGTCCCCCGAATCGTCGGCCGCCGGGGCCAAATCAGCTTCCCGTAACACACTTCGTATTATCCTCAAAAGCCGCCTCTCATCCCGACGCAGATCTGTAGGGTCCGTAGCAAGAGTCTCCAGCCACTTGCATAAGAACAAAGCGCATTCCACATTGCAAAGCGAATGGATTGTGCTCCATGTCAAAGCCTGCGTCTTGGCTACATATTCTACCCCAAGCCGTACCGGAATGGAAAGAGCGTGTATAGATTGAAGGACCGCATGATAGATCTGCGGTGTCTGTACAGGGCGCGGTGCATTGAGAAAAGCATATCCAATGGTTTCCGAGTCCCAGGTTCCAAAGCTGCGGTGGGGGCCGAGATTCACATGTAGTCGAAGGCAAGCTATGCGAAAGATTGCGGTCGCGTTAAACCCCAACGGCCCACCTGGTGATGATGGTGTTATTGAAGGGTCAGAGCTAATCTGCCAACTTTTTTGCCACCTGTGAAGTGCGGCGTGAAATCTTGTAAGAGTCTCGTGCGGTAAGGAAGCTCCCTTTTCCTCGGACAGTGAAAGACAGGTTGCCGACTCCCAAGCTAAATATATTTGTTGGAAAACAGCATGGACAAGGATCAAGTTGCCAAATGAAGACAGGCTAAAATGATGCTTGTGAACGGACTGTGATCGAAACAGTTGGGCATAGCCATCACCGAATGAGGGACAGGATGGCCATCTTTGGAGAAGGGTCTTCCATTCGGCAGAGCTGGAAGCCCTCCAGAGTTCCTCGGGCCATGGGAGATAGAGCGAGGTGATTTCACTATTTAAAATTTTTGGGGGTGTATTGTAAAGAATGGTTTGGACGTTGGAAAGCATAAATGCAATAAACTTGGTACGTCGCCGCCCTTCTAGCTGCACCCAAGAACTCCATGTTCCATCGTGGGTGGGAGTATCATCCAAGAGAAGTCCGCTGTCCCGAAGATAAAGTGACATTTGACTAGCCATCGCAAGTGAATCGTGGAGCAGCTCGGGATCAGCCCAGATACCCAGGGTTGTGAGAATGACCTGAGCTTGTAACACTTCAATATCTGCCGAAAAGGCAGATTTTGCGTCGTCATTCTGGCCTCTCGGAGTGCCGAGAAATTTCCCTTGTAAGTTCACTCTGATGTGATAGTCGATCAGAGATTTTGAAGCCCTGTAGAATGTCACGGCACGAGCTCGTTCAAATCGATATTGCGCGCCCATAGCAATTATGGCTAGTGTCAGATGCGGCGACAGATATGCCACTGAAACAGTGGGAAAATGTAGAAATGGTAAATGTTCATGGCTTCCTGTGAAAAACCCCTCGACGTATCTGCAAAATACGTACTTGGACGGAAGGCTAAATGACTCCGGGAGAATATGGCGAACATTCGCAACATGGGATACAACTGCCTGGTAATCATCCTTGGAGATATGCCAAGGGTAATTCGCGCTGAGAACTCTCGGGTGTTCTGCGGAAGAACCGCATGGACGCTGTGAGGGATTATCTGGGAGTGACAAAGCGGCGTGGTCATCTTTTTGTAACGGTGGAAGCTGATCGTTGCATAATGAGGTGTCATCATCCGAATAGGGGCTATCTGATCGCCTTGAGCCAGAATTTGGACCTGTAGGCAGTTCCGAGAATCCAGAACGTGTCGGCTCCGGGATATCGAACTCAGGCAGGGAAATCAGTTCATTGGGAATACCCGAGTCTACTGGAAATGGCCCTCCCCAGGAAAGGTTTGCTTCCATGCTGCCCCATAAAATTTGAAGATCGTGCAGATTTTCGTCAAAAGATTGTTGTGGAGCGTTTGAGGGAAGCCTGGTCGTAGTTGATAGTTGTATTTCTTCCGCCGATGGCATTTCACCTAGCAAATTAGTTGGCAAATCGTATGCGACAATTGGATTTTGGTCCTCGGCATCCTGGTGCCTTGGTGGCTGGACCGGTCTAGAAACCGCCAACGGGGCGTCTTGATGATCATCTAGCCATAAATCCAGTGCTCGACCTTGAACTGTCTCGGATCCAACGAGATGCGAAGCATCGCCATTCACGGAGACATCGGATAACTCAACCTCACCGTGGCAAGAAGGGTCATTCTTGATTCTAAGGTGCCTAGATAGAAGGTCACTGTCGTTTGTTATTTCAACTGCTGCGAACTCACAGGGCCAGTTTTCTTCTTACCGTCTGGCAAACCTTTTGCTACAGCGGCAAGGAAAGGGCTTTTCAAGTGTATCTAGACTATATCAGCCAAATCAGCTTCAAGATATGAGTAGAGTGAGGACCACATACGTGTCCGCTCATGACGGAGTAAATGCTCTCTCCGGGAAAACCGTCTGCGACAAAATTTACATGGCGCAACTTCAACTCGCGGCCGCATATTGTAACAGGAATGAGCAATTTACAGTTTTTTGTGCGCTTTCTTCTCTCAATTGTGACTGCATAATCTTAGAAGCTGAGGCGCGTTTGGACAGGTTCACCAAGGAGTTAACGGGAACTGATAACAACCTTGGTTGCCCCCCCGGGGCCGGACTGCAGGCGGGGGCGACGGCGGGAGATAAGCCGTGAGTCAGCTGACTCCTTATCTCCAGGCCCGGCCGGGATTGGGTCTTCCAGGGCTGTTCAGGGGGTGTGGAAGCCAACTGATAGACTTGAAACATATCCGTAAATTAGGTGTTCAATTTAACATTTAATATCATAACGGTCAAACTGTATCTAGTTAAGCCATTCTAATCATTGAACAACAGTTTTAGGACGCCATAAATCACACTCCCCTTCGATCATACCGGCTGGTTGCCGACCCAACTTTCCAACTAAAACACGGCCATTACCCCTTTTGAGATATTTGCCAAATCCCTTGACGCCCGTGACACGGTTCTCATCTGCGTTCCAAACGACCTCACCACGAAGGATAGTAAACCGGGGCCAATTCCTCACCCGCATCCCTTCGAAAGGGGTGTAGTCAACATCATGGTGAAGATTCTCCTGAGAGATAATTCTTTCTCCTTGGTTTTGTGGATGCCAAATCACCAGATCCGCATCTAGGCCTGGCATAATTGCACCCTTCGACGTCAACCCATACAATCTTGCTGGATTGCCGGATGTGAGTTGGACAAATCGCTCGAGGCTTAATCTTGCTTGACTTGTGGGGAGACAGCCTTCTGACTCGCTGAACAAAAGAGACAACCGGGTTTCAATGCCAGGAATACCCTTGGGAATTTTACTGAACTTCGGAATGCCATTGATTATACCAGCCTTCTTTCCTTGAGGGTGATCATATTTGGTTGGGGCATGATCTGAGGAGAAAACTGTGAATGTATCATTTGCAATGCCATTCCAAAGCGCCTCAAGATCCTCCACATGGTGACGAAGAGGAGGGGAGCATACACCTTTCGCGCCGTGAAAGGCGTCATGCTCGTGTGCCCTTAGTCTTTCAGATAAGAGGAAGAGGTAATGAGGACATGTTTCAGCGTGGATAGGTAGGAGCCTCGTCTGTGCATCTCTTATATGCTTCATTGCTCCATCAGAAGAGACATGAACAAGTAGGACTGGCGCGCCCACCAGTTCCGCAAGTCTAATAGCACGATACGAGGCCTCATCCTCTGCAATCTTGGGGCCTGCGACGGCGTGGAAGAAGGGATCCGTGTGTCCGTTTCTTTCCAAGCCCTGGATCAAAAATTCTATGATTTCACTATTCTCGGCATGGATCATCGTGGTCAATCCCAATGACTGACAAGCTAGCATTGTTTCAAGCAGTTGGCGATCAGACAGCTTGTACAATTCATAGGTCATATACAATTTGACACTTGTAATCCCTTTTTGCTTTGCAATAACGGTGAGTTCTTCGTTGAGAATCTTTTCAGTCGGGTTTGTGAGGATGAAGTGGAACCCATAATCGCAATAGGACTGTTCTCGAGATTTGTTGTGGTAGTCTTCGAGAACCGGGAACAGAGACTCCATCTCCTTTGTCTGTGATGCGAATGCAAGAACGGTTGTGGTTCCTCCAGCAACTGCGCTGCGTGTCCCTGTCTCCCAGTTATCTCCAGTCGGTGCGTTCCTTTGCGCGAGATGGACATGCGAGTCTACCCCTCCGGGGGTGATATATGCTCCCTGGGCATCTATTACTCTGGTCTCAGGCCCTTCAGGGATGTCATATCCAATGACGGATATCTTCCCATCGCAAATTCCAATGCTTTGCCCTGCTGGAAGCACCCCGCTTTCCGTGGCCTAGCCAATACTGTTAACAATCTATACCATGATCGTATCTAATTCTCGTCTGCGAACTGATGCATAATCGTGCAAACAAAGTAGCAATGGCGACCAAACGGAATAAACAGGAAGAGGATAGTTTAACTCACGATTAGGCCGTTTTTAATAATCGTGTCCAACATGACGGGGGTGATTGGTTGAATAATGGCAGATAGATAGTCGGATCAAGTAGATAGGATTTTGGTTCCTATGCTGTACATGGTCGAGTCTTGGAATTTACAGGATACTTAAACATCCATATACGCATACATGCAAATCTTAATGTTTTTCCTTGCATGTCATGTATCTCGCTTGGGGTAGTTAGTGGTGGACTCCAAAAGTATCTACCCCAATTCCCAACGACATGGATCTTATCTCCCCCTCATTTGCCTATTGAAGAGGGAAACTAACTAGGCTTTGAAGCCCAACTGTAGTCATGGGCATTAGATCGGTCTACTTGGATATCACCAACATGTCCTGGCACCGCCGCTAGCGCAGATGATCGTCAAAATGCGGAAAAAGACAACCTCTTCTTTCCGATAAGCGCATGCACCCGGCTAATATAGACATTGTGAAAATAGAGAGTGATAGAAAGATCTGTGATATTCATATGATGACTGAGTGAATTCGAGAGAGGCGAAATTAAGGTCCTTCCATTGGGTGCAGAAACCCCCAGCGAAGCTTGGAAGTGACCTCGGGATGGAACAACATCAGGGGTAATCATGTCATATTCGAGGACCAACTCAACCTTCGCTTCCGCCCTCTGTGTTGAATATAATTTTCAGGTACGAGTTTCTCCATAATTGCCCGTCCTTCACATTCCAACAGCCCGACCAGTCGATCTATCACAAAGACGTCTCGACGGAAGTCTGAAGCCCTCTCAGCAAGTATAGTGAAGACCCTCTTTGGCCCATGCTGGGCGGCCAAGCCCAAGACCTCCATAAGAGCCTTTTGTTCTTCTTTCACATGACTCAGCTGTACCAGCTCCTTCAAATTTGCATTGGCACCCATGCCGATCAGGGTGTCACGAACTGCTTCATCTCCTTGATCGATCACCCAACTTAAGAGCTTGTCAAACGCGTCGCACGTCTCTTCAGTGGCCCCCAGTAGCAATGTCCATTCCGGGTTACTTTGCTGGTGATCGGCGCCTCTCGCAAGCAGCAAGTTAACATTATTATCACGTCTTTCTCGGACGCACCTTTTAGGTATCATTTTTGTACTATAATTGCACATAAATGGTTGGGCTTTCGTGCCCCATCCATGGATACAATACTTGGTGCTGCTGAAATAACTGTACTATCGACGCCAAATCGAAGGTGCAAATATTGCCACACTTCCAATCAAAACGGTGAGAGAAATAAATGGGCGTTGATGGACGAAGTTTTGAAGGGAATGCACAACGGAGACGATTGTCATGGTTTTGGGGGGACGACTATCGGATATGGGGGAGTGAACGTTGACAATATCGAGATCCCTGACATTGCCGCAGTTGCCATCCGGCAAAGGCAAAGGGGGCACCGGGGGGCCCGGGACTGGCCTTTTCTCATCCTGGGTTATCAGGTCTTCCACGGTTGGGCTGGGACTATCGAATTTTTAACGAAGAATAATGGTAGATAACGAGGAGTGAAAACATACAAATAGTACTTTTGGGTATTATACCACACCCGGCATATCTGCGGCTGCTGAACACTTTCATGAGGTGGAAGCGGCGTCATTGACTGCAGGAGCTGAGACTTGAATAGCCCTTCCATCCCTTCGATGTTCCATTGGGCCCAAAATTCAAATATCCTGGGATAAAAGCCTGCAGAAGCCCAGTCCAGCAGACAAATTCTACCATCTGGTAGCCAAATAATATTTCTTGGTGCAGTATCCAAATGGCAAAGCACTAGGTCGCAATCACGGAATGAAACATTTCCCTCGCCTGGAAATAATTTGCTATAAAACCATGACTCCATCTGACCTTTATCATCGAATCCCAAGTCTTCGCCATCAGGCCAGAGAAGTCCTCGATATAGCCCGCCGCCCATACTTCCCACACGATTCGCAGTGAGAGTGCTAAAATAATCGAGCACTTTTGCTATTTTGGCTATCAGATGAGGATCGTGGAGAGGGTCTATCACGTGGCCTTCAACGTATTCCATGAGGATATAACCACGTCCAAGTTCGTCAGTGAAGAAACGATAGAAAAGTGGGACGTGTACTTTATCATGATCAAGATGTTCATATGCCTTCCGTTGATTATTGGCCTCATCTTCGGTGACTCCTACTCCAAATTTGATAACAGTATCATTTGAAGTCTTGACGACAAGATTGCCTCCTTGGCGTCCGCCAACGGATCCGATCAGGGGTGGCTTCCAAGCAAAGACTTATTAATTCATGGTCCGATAAGGTAGCAAGGTCCATTTATCATAGAAGAAGGATGAAAAGATCGTGTAAGGTGCAAAGGGGAACTTCTAGCTGAAAGGGCGTCAGGGTTCCAAGGTTCTATAACTCGGCCCGGTCCGAGTGGGTTTTCTACCTAAGAGGCCCAGCCGATGTATTATGTAATAGCCCCATATGCACCCTTAGGCACGAAAGCGTAGCAAAGATCTTCTTACCTACTACATATTTTTGAGATCTGTATGGAAATCGAAGCATAAGAAAGGATAAATCGAAATCGGTTGATCTTAAATAGAGACGGATTGGATAAATAAGGAAGAAGAGATTTTCGTAGGATCCTAGCCTAACGAAGACGGAATATATATCTTTGAGGCTCATTCATATAACTAATCCCAACCTCAATCTCCCATAATTTCACAACAATTCTGGCTCAATGACACCAGTACGTTCCAAGATTGAATGGTAATGCTCAGGTCTCCGATGCTTTTCAAAAGCAAATACTGTAGTTTTAAGGCGACGGCAATCAGCCAAGTCAATAGTGGCGATAACGACCTCGTCTTCCTTTGTCTTTGCCTCCTTGATAATATGGCCAAGAGGATGCACGATCATCGTTCCTCCAACTAGTGGGTGTCCATCCTCCGCACCCGTTTTCGCCACATTGATACTGAAGCAGCCGTTCATATAACTATTTCCCTGGCAAGAAAGCTTATGATGCAACAAAACTTCTTCCTCGGCTGCCTCTGGACTCAGATCCACCATATGCCCCTCGGAAGTTGTGGCAAATGCAGTAGTATTGTAACCACAACACATGATCTCCATGCCTTGGAGGCCATATACTCGCCATGCTTCGGGCCATCGTCGATCGTTGCAAATCAGCATACCAATGATCGGATCGCCTTTTCCAGCAGTCTTCACGGGATCATCAGTACTGCTAGACTTCTTTAGAGCACCCTCGACAAGGCCCGGGGCTCGGAATGCCGGAAATCCAAGGTCTCCGTTGCGGAAGTAGCGCTTTTCCAGCTGTTGAAATGCACCTGGCGCAGTGCGTGGCTCAACAGTTCCCGGAAGGTGTACTTTGCGGTACTTTCCAACAACCTCGTTTGTTTGGGCCGAGTAGTACGCGCTAGAGTTGTAGTCGATGTGAGAGCCATCTTTTTGCACACTCCGTTCCGCATAGCCTACATAAACGTCGATGCCAAGAGAGCGAGCGTGGTCGAAAAGAGGCTTGACATTTGGAGATTGCTCAATTCCGCCCTTGTTTGAGTCCTCAATATCGAAGTATTGACCCAGGTCTTCCCCCTCGATTAGGTATCTAGGGAAGAATGTGGTGAAGGCTAGCTCGGGGAAAACAGCGAGTTTTGCACCTTCCTTCGCAGCATGATTTAAAAGGGCAAACATGCGCTTCAAGACATCTTCACGTGAGTCTGCAAGATGCACTGGACCAAGTTGGCAAGCAGCAACGGTCAATAGTCGTGGAGATTCGGCATTATTAGAACCCATCGTTGAAGTGTGGATGTTGATCCAATGAGTTGTATATGGCTCTAGAAAGTCGTGGATAAATGATTGTAATAAAAAATGCAATTTGGCAATAACATGAAATTGTAAATGAAACCTCCGCACTCCATATGTGTAGGGCCATGCAGCGACGTATTTACCCCAACTAACACCGCATATCAAAGCTCATCCACCCGCTAAAGGGAGGGGTATTTTGGGGTATTTTGGGTGGCTTATCTACATAGACTATCAAGTTATCTTAACGTCGGGATTACCGTGATAATCTAATCTCAAGATATCGGCTACTTCATTGACTTGCCGAGATCTCGGCAAGTGCTAATCCAAGGATCCTCGAGAAACATACATCTACAACATAGTTTGACGAAACTATCCTTTTTCTTATTATTAATATCGGTGGTCCTCTCGTCAATCCTCCGATTCTTGATATTGATATATCATTATTATTATTGCTATGTTCCCCACATTCTTACTCCCCATGAACGGTTTGGAGACACATAGATAGTGATCTTTGGGGGAAAACCCAATATCCAAAGTGAAAATGCGGAGAAATTATCGACCAATCAGCCGTTTAACTCCATGTTTCGTACATATCGTTATCTCTGGGGAAGTAGGGTATAGGTAGTATGCTCAGGTATAAAACAGTGAGAAGGCAGCTTGTTTTTAGTTTAAGGGTAGAAGTATTTATCGGTTTCTCCGGAGAAGAAGTTATCTACCTATTTCTTATTCTGATAATAGTCCAAATGAGTTTCGATTCCAGTCCTCAGCAGCCAGACGAACGGCAACCGATCAAAAGCTACGCCTATCAACATCACGAAAATGCCCTGGAGAAGCGCCCCTCAATTCGAAATTATGCAGTCACTAGAGTCACTTCACTCAAACCTCCTATGGAAAACATCAAAAATCCGTTTAAATTACTGGCCATGCTGAACGCCCAGCAATGGGCCTTTTTGGCAGTCTCCTTTGCTGGATGGTCATGGGACTCGTTTGATTTCTTCACCGTATCCCTCACTGTCTCTGACTTGGCCGAGACATTCAACAAATCAACCACAGATATCACATGGGGAATTACTTTGGTGCTTCTACTGCGACCATTCGGCTCGATAGTATTTGGAATTGCGGCAGACCGCTATGGACGAAAGTGGTAGGTCTTGACAGGACCAGACATTTGAATTTGAACCATCCACTCATAATCGCTATAGGCCTTTTATCGTGGCAAATGTTATTTTCGTCATCCTTGAACTTGCTACTGGGTTTACTCAGACATATGGACAGTTCCTTGCAGTTCGCTCTTTATTTGGAATTGCCATGGGAGGACTATACGGAATTGCAGCCGTTACGGCCCTCGAAGACTGCCCCGAGGATGCGCGCGGTCTAGTGTCAGGATTAATGCAGCAAGGTTACGCATTTGGTTATCTTCTGGCCACGGCATTTGCACGGGCATTGGTCAACACTACGAACCACGGCTGGAGACCCTTATTCTGGTTTGGTGCATGTCCACCAGTTCTCATCATTGCATTCCGCTTCTGCCTTCCTGAAACAAAAACATTTCAGGCCCGGCAAGCGATTCGCGAAGAGCAAGGAAGTTTGGCTCAGACATTTATTGCAGAGGGACGAGTTGCTCTAAAACGGCACTGGTTATTACTCGTCTATCTCATTCTCCTAACATCCGGGCTTAACTTCATGGCACATGGTACCCAGGACTTGTATCCTACGATGTTAAGCAACAACTTGAACTTTTCAGCCGATGCAATTACAGTAACTCAGGTTGTTGCTAATCTAGGTGCAATCACTGGAGGAACAACTGTGGGTTACTGTTCGCAATTTCTTGGTCGACGACTCAGTATGATCATTGTTTGCATTATTGGAGGGGCTCTTTTGTATCCTTATACTATGGTGCAATCAAAGGGCGTAATTGCTGCAGCTTTCTTTGTGCAATTCTGTGTCCAGGGCGCTTGGAGTGTGATACCCATTTACATTATGGAGCTTTCTCCTAGTTCCTTCCAGACTTTTGTCCTTGGAACAGCATATCAGATGGGAAATCTTGCTTCAGCTGCCTCATCCACGATTGAAGCAACCCTTGGCGAGCGATATCCACTCCCACCGATCACACGGGCAGATGGCACAGTTGTCAAGCGCTTTAACTATGGGAAGGTTATATGCATCTTTATGGGAGCGGTTTATGCTTATAGTATTTTGATGATCTTTATTGGACCAGAAAAGCGAATCTGTGTCTTGAGTGCTGAGCATGACACAGAGGCTGATGATGTGATCGATGAATCAAAATCACACATCACTAAGGTCTAAGTCTACATGGGTTCAGAGTGGTCTCATCTCTAGACTATCTGGCGGTTGCCTGCTTGCAAAGGATTATCTGTTATATACATCAAGTGTCCAGCCGAAAGAAACTTAATTATGCCATGTGGTGCGCTCGAATTTGCTCCATCTCCAATCAGATACCCTGAAAGGAGTTTTGTCGCCTGGCACCTATACTACTACGTAGCTGAAATATAGTTGGAAAAAGGAGCCAACTCAAATATGAAGGCTTCATGCATCCAAAATTGCACAAGCGGGAGTGCAAGAGCGGCTATAATCACCAATAATGCTGGGTCTTTGCGGGGTAGTTTCGTCTGATTAAAATGCTAATTCAGCACGGTGCAGACATAAGAACGCAAAGACTAGCCTTAATAACAGCTTAGCAACATGAAAAAAAGGGCTGCAGAATTTTGGTGCCTGGTAGAGTATGGGGCAAATTTGCACGCGAATTCCACCCTTCAGCGAGAGGCGGGCAGTGGATATCAACCTGAGTGGACCCAAACTCAAACGCGAGCTAAACGCGAACTTCTGCCCCCCTTCTTATAAACAAACGCCACGTTCTATTCCAACTCCTTAAGAGACTGGACTTCCAATCGTCTGCAAACAAAAACCACCCAATTCACCTAATTCAACTACCCGGAAACCCGCAAAGATGCGCTCAGTCCCAGACTTCCCACAAAATCTGCTAGACAGAGTCAACGCAGCCGAGCACAGTCCCTCGCGCGATTCCAACGTCAAATACGTCTTTCACGTCATCCACAGTGGAGCCGAAGATCTATCCGCGTTTGAGGAGGTAGATTCAGAGGATGAGGGGGTGGAGTCTGATGATGGTGATCGCCAAAGGCAGCACAGATTTGACACCCTCGTGGAGGCCAACAAGGCTGCTCTGGATCTTTTCAGGAGCGAGTATGAGGACTTCTTTGATCAAGAAAAGGATATGTCCAACTGGTACGAAGAGGGTACTAGCGAGATTATGATGAATGACGTGATATGGCAAGTTGTCGACGGGATGGTTTCGTTGCAAGCTCACCACGCTGAGGAGGGGATTATCGGTGAGATTTATGTTTCTGCCTCGAGAGTCTAAGCTTGAGGAGAAGAGAAGAAAAAGCGGGAGGGGAAAAGCATAAGTAAATGGTGATCACGAAGTTTGGTTCTGTGTACAAAGCAGAGCCTCTTCTTGGTGTGAGAAATTGTATGTTGAAAATCAATAGGCTAGGAAATGAATGACATACAGCACACCGAAGCTTGTCATCTTCATGGCTTACTAGAAAAATTAATAAGATTAGAAGCAGGCAGTTTGAGTTGAACAAGGGTAACTCATGGCGTGCGGGGCTTCGTCACTCTACCCGGGGTAACAGACAACCCAAGGAAGTCCTGCGGCTTTTTCTTCTAATAGATATCAGCATACCGCAAGTTGTCCATGCCTGATAGTCTCACCAGATGGTCACGTTTGATATGAGCACGGAGCTTGACTACCTGAGGGCTGGTAGTCTCGAAGTTATCGAACTTTGGGCAGTAGGGACACTTGTAGGCGCAGGGAGGAATCGTCTAAGGACAGCAAAGATTAGTATTGGCTTGAATAGAAGATTAGGGTACTTCTACTCACAATGATCGCGTGTTCCATCGGCCATTGGCTTGCCTGGTGTTCATCACAAGCGCAGAGCTTCTTGTTCTCCTGGCTGATAGAATCGGTCAGCCATATTCAACAGTCCAATTCAAATCAATGCTTACAGCCATTTGGTGGGTGGCATGTCCCTGTTTGACTTCCAGTAGTGACCATGCATCCCATAGTATGGACTCCCAGGGAGAGCCTCAACAGGCTGGGACTCGGCCGGGGTTGTTGATGTACCTTTGGTCATGGTGGTAGTTGGGTGATTCTTTTTTCTGAATGAGATCTTGAAGAGATTTGATATCGACAAAGGTAAAGTGCTGATTTGATTGCTCAAATGTGGGAGATTGGGAAGCAGAACTAAAACGGAAGGAACCCAAACAGGAAAGTGAAATCAACAAAACCCATCTGATGTGGTTTAGCACGTGGGGTTATATCTGGGACTGAATACATCCGGAATTCATCTTAATACAAAAAGCATTGTCATAAATTCATTCCCACAAAGTATTTACAAAACATATTTGAACAGCGGCGACTTATCTCCCATATCGAACAGCTGTTCCTCGGTGTAGTTAACTCTTGCGTCATCAGCAATCCTTTCCTTCTTCGCATTACCCAGCTTGTAGGTCCATTCGAGGAACAAAGCAACAAAGAATCCAACCCCACCAAGTGCCAAACTGAGGCCGAATCCAGTTGTGTACTTCGGGCTCTCTTTCTCAATATACATGAAGCTGCCCAATATGCCACCAACATTGCCAACACAGTTCACCAATGCAATACCCATAGCACGGCGGGATGCCGGGGCAATGTTGTTTGCATTCCAAGACGCAGCTCCGGGTTGAATGGGGTAAATACCGATGACAGACAAAACGACTGCAAAATAAGCCACTCCTTTCTTTTCTTCGAGGGCTCCATTAAGAGACATGATGATAGAATAAGCCACCACGACGATTATCATGGGGATGCAGACAAATGGCATTCGCCAATAGAAGCGATCGGAGAACCGCGCAAACACGATAGCAGATATCGCACCGGCAATATATGGAGGGGCAGAGGTGAGTTGGGCATTTGTGGAGCTGAAGCCCATGGCTTTGGTGATGGTTGGGAGGGTGAATTTGGTACCTTGATGCAAAATGAATTAGCACAGTGTGTCGTATAGGGTTTGAAGGGCTGTTACCATAAGACAAGGCAGACTGGCAAAACAAAAGGTATCCTTGCACGTATATCCTCCAGTTCAACAGGACCACTTTGAGATCTCTCCACTTGAAACCTCCTTCCCCGGTACTAGTTCCTCCTTGCTTGATGAACATTGAAAGTTCAAGATAGCGTATTTCTTCAGGGGTTAACCAGCGCTTGGATAAAGCCGGGGTGTCGATTAGGAGGAAGAAACAGGCAATACCTAGTACCACACTAGCAAGGCCTTCAAGAATGAAGATCCAGCGCCATCCCTCAAGCCCACCAATACCGTCCATCTTGGCAATAGCGGCAGCCAATAGGCCAGAGAATGCACCAGAGAGCGCACTGGCACAGTAGAAATATGAGATACGAAGCGCTAATTCTTTAGGCATGTACCAGTAGGAGCAAAGGTAGATAGCACCAGGGAAGAATCCAGCCCTATAAAGCAAAACATTAGTGTGAAAGTAAAATATGGCTGATTAATGTTCCTCACTCAAAAACACCGAGTAGGACTCGAGTGGTCATCAGACCAGCAAAATTTTTAACCAGACCTGTGCATGTCATGATAATACCCCAGCTCAAGACCAGAAGGCCAAGGTACATTGAAGGGCGCTTGAACTTCTTGAGAACAATGTTGCTGGGAACTTCGAACAGGACGTAGGGAATAAAGACTATAGTATATATCACGAGTCAGTACACTTTGAGCTCACAGCCGAAAAAAACACTAAGCCGGCTGAGTGTGCTGCAGGAACCGAACTCACATATAGAAAGAACTGTGTTATACTGCAATCCCGTCATATTGAGATCTTGGACCATGCCTTCGATTTTAGCATTGCCGATGTTCGCACGATCGATGTGACAAATCAAGTACAGCACTGCGAGCATGGGGATTAAACGCTTATCGATCTGTATCAAGAGTTAGCTAGTTAGGTATTATCTGTGAGAGGAGTGTTGAGCATTTTCACACCTTATGAAAGACCTTTTTCCGCCTCTCTTCCGAATAGTTATTATAGAAATCTGCATCATCGGCGGTTAAACCAACGACACGGAAATCTCCAACCTGCGTCACCAGAGATGGTTTGGTAATTTGTTCGACATGAGAAGATTGATCGACAATCTCGACATCATCCTTTCCAATAGAACCGCGGTTCATAGCTGCGGATTATAAGTAGCACACAGCCTTTGGCTACTTCGAGAGATGTCCTGTAGATATAGGGTCTCAGAAGATCGGCATAAGCAAGTCGACGAAACGTACTTTATATATGGTGTATACCTAGTTACATCATGTAAGCTATCCTTCATAGATTGGTGGAATGATTTCAGCTTTCATTGTTTACCCCAGTCTTGGCAACTACGTTCTAGCAGCCAAGAAATGCGGGGAAGCTTGGCCATTGAAGGGCCATGATCCAATGATTTCCAAAATTATGCTTGACGATCTATAAGTGACCCGGTAGTTGGCCTGTGCCAAGGTGAGCTTGTTGACAGGCATCCAGTCAGAACCCGACCTGCTGCGGAAAGCACTGACAATCACCACGAGTAGCCATGCGGGGTGTATGTTTTCCCCAACAGAGAAATGATGGACCTTTCTCCGGGCTTTGGTCCCGGCCTTTCTCCGAGGCTTTATCCAGGCTCTTCTCCGGACCTTTCTCCGGGACTATCCGCTCCGACCTTGTTTGGACATACGGGAAACCGCTATCTCTCATTTCCGCCGCAATAGAAGAGATCGATATCCGGCCTCTGCAAGTTCATGACAGTCTATTGGTGGGGAATGTGATTGTGCATGAACCGCAGTATCATCAAGACCATCACGGATTTCGCGCACGGCTTAGGATGCTCATTTGGTGGCTTGACTCATCTAGCCGACTTGGGAAAAGCTGCTAGGACCCTTGGGAGATCAAAAGCCTCGTGGTGTACGACAAAAAGGCATCCCGCAAACTCTAAACTAACCCGATGGGATGTAAAAACACACCACATCTAGTCTTCCCCCTTAGATTTGCAAGTCTCAGTTCTACGACAGGCTGCGGGTCTCTTGGTGAGCAACTCGCTCAGTAGATAAGTGAGAATCTAGGGAATACCCCCGCATATTTTTTCTATGACTAGGCCGGAAAACCTCCAGCCACACAAGAAATATAACGCAGTGCCAAATCCAGGTGGGGTAGGGAAGGCAGCCAAGAAGCATGTCGGCAAATATAGTCAAAGCTTTATTTGATCCTAAGGGCGATATTGACTCTCGCCTGTATAGTTAGAAGGTTGAGGCCATAAAGGCGATGCTTCATGAGGAGATTGGGGGATGAAAGAAAACAACTAGGTACCCGGGGCTACACAGCGGTATAGGTCCCATGGGGCAAACCTCCATCTTCGGGGTATTATTGATGACGGAATGCTTCATACCTTGTACTCCCTAGGACTTAGACTGCTGCGCGGGGGTTGACTTAAATATATTGCTTAGATTTTGTGAAGGCGATGGTTCCTTCCCCTGGAAAACAATTTTATACGAACCAAAAGAGGTGTTCATGACATGCAGGCCTATCAACGTCTAATAATGTGAACATTGCATACATGTATCGTGCAAGAAATGAAACATATCGCTCCTAGAACTCAATCCGCCATGCCTTTCCAATGTTAACATTCGGATTCTTCACCACAACATATGACGCCTTGCCGCCCTCCTGCTCGTAGAACTCCAACGAGGCAGTAGAGGCCGACTTAGCTCCATCTTCAATGACAGTCACGGCGTTCTTAGTCTTCCATTCGGCAGGAGGGTCGACGATGACCACTCGCTCGACCGTCACGCCAGCCATGGTCTTGAGGTACTCAGCAGTCTTGGGTCCCTTGGTTCCAATGTCATCCGACGACAACACCGACTCGCGGTAGTTGAAGCGGCGGTGAATGTAGGCGCCATGCTCGTAGTCGAATGTCTCACCGTCATCTACATACAGAGTGCCTTCGGCTTCACTGTTCTTGTCTAGCGTAATGACCAGTGTATACGGGTCCCATCGCATAAGACCGGTGCTGCGACGGGGACGGTCCTTACGGGGGATGATGTGACCACCCTGGATCAACACAGGCACCTTCTCCTCCGGTGCAGGGACGGTGTGCTTCTTGCCCGCGCCCTGGTAGACGGTGAAATCGAAGTAGTCGTAGTACTTCTCGTCGTCGGAGATATACACATCTGCGGTGTAAGTGTTCTCCTGCACAACAGGCTTCACGAGAAGACCCGTGGAACCAAGGTACAGCTGATCATCGATGGCAAAGCCTTGCTCGTCCTCTGGGAACATGTAGTACTGAGGCCGCACAATGGGCGTACCATTAACTGAGGCTTCATGGAAGGCCGTGTACCAAGCAGGCATAAGTTGGTACCTGAGGCGGATTGCCTGAGCGATGTAGGACCGTTGTGGTTCGCTGATCAGGTACGGCTCACGACGGCGGGTATCGATGTGAGCATGTGCGCGGAAGAAGGGATACCAGATACCTGTCTGGTACCACCGGGTCAAAAGGTCCTTATCGGGGTTGTGGAAGAATCCTCCGACATCTGCGCCGGCAAAAGGGAAGCCGGCGATACCGTTGGTTAGGACCATGGGGAGAGAGGCCCCGAGGTGCTCCCAGGTGGCCTGGTTGTCTCCAGTCCACATAGCAGACACACGCTGGGCCCCAGAGTAGTACGAACGCGTCAAGATAAATGGCCGGCGCACCTCGCCCTTCTTGCGCTCCAGCATTGCTTTGTAGGTGGCGTTCAAAAGAGTCAGGCCATTAAGGTTGTGAATATCACGATGTTCCCAGTTTCCATGGTGCAAGTTGTCCTTAGGCATGGTCATGTCAGGCCCGTTGAAAACGGAGGGTTCATTCATATCATTCCAGATGAAAAGATTCTGAAGCGATCCCTTAAATTTGTCGAACTTGTGGAGGGTCGCCCACCAGGCCTGTGCAGCAGGGTTGAAGCAGTCGACCCAGTTCGAGGAACCTGGCCAGCACCATCCATCGTAAATCTCGCCATCCTTATTCAGTACAGCAAGCTTCTTGCTTCTAAGCTCCTCGGAAACAAAGTACTTGTCCGTATTCTTAATATGCGGATCAATCAAGACCACCAACTTTCGCTCGGTTTCATCGAGTTTTTGCTGCATACCCTTAGGGTCGGGGAAGGTAAGGGAGTCCCAGGTGAAGTATTTCCGGTCATCGGTGTATTCAAGATCAAGCCAAATCACATCGTACGGAATCTGGTACTTGTCGAACTTGGCGTTGACTTCCTTGACATCCTCGTCCGTAACATAGTTCCAACGGCATTGATGATATCCAATGGCAAACTGTTGGGGCAGTTGTGTATATCCCGTGAGTTCACCATATGTCTTACTGATATCATTAGGCGAGGGGCCCAGGAAGACGAACAGGTCAATCTGACCGGATTCGGAGATCCAATGTGTGTGTGTGTCTGTTTTGGAGCGGGCGCCCAAGGCAAGGGGGTTAGAAGAGGCAGTCGACTTGACAATATCGATCCACGTTTCCGCTGCATTGAGCCAGAAGACTCCAACAGTAGAGTTCTTGCGGTGGGCTTGCATCAGCGGAATGGCTCCATACAAGGTCATCGGGCTTTCGAGTTCATACTCGAAGACATCCGAGTTGTACAGACGGTAAGGGTCCTCATGGTTGCCAGATCCACCTCTGGTCTCTTTGAGCGAGAGCGAGTCTGCGTGCTCTGGGATACCAAATACATGATTATAACCCGGGAAGGTGATATCAAGGGCAACACTCTCGGGACCACGCGGCTTAGAGTCGGTGTTTCCCCCAAACGTCTCCTCCCACCAGCTGCCCTCGTCCTCACTGGATTCGCCGTCTTTGCCGTCTACCTTCGGTCGCCAGTGCTCCAGGTTCAAGAAACCTTGGTGGTTCAATTGAACGTGGGTCTCTCCGTCCCGCTGAAATTCAACTCCAAATGGCGCGTGGCGAACGATTGCCTGGAATTTGTCGCCTGGGCCGTATAAAATGTTGGTGAATCCAGTCTCGGTCTGAGCGTTCAACGTGGCCGACTTGCTGACTTCCAAACCACCCACGATAGCCCATTTCTCAGCTTCATCGTATCGCTTCTTGTTCGCTTGGCTGCCATGTCGCATTTCAATGTCGCCCTTCATCCGCTTCTCTTCATCCACCACAATGCGGGCGGCTCCCGATTCCAAGAAAGAGACTGTGAGAGGTAGCCGGACCTTCTCGTTGGCAGTTGTTGTTTTAGAAATGACTCCAGTAAGGATGCCATCTTTAAAATGTACGGTGGCGGGGTCGAGCTCGTAGGGTGAGCTCCATGAAGTGCCTTGGGAGGAGGCGTTATCGGCGTAGGCACGGTTTCGTTTGCAGAATCCGGACTGGTCGCAAGTTTTGAAATCTTTGTGTTTCACAGCCACTGTTCGTACCATGAGCGTTAGCTTTTTGTAATCTTGCGTTTTGGCAAAAAGCAGCCTTACAACCGGGGACGACAATGCATCCGAGAAGGATAATTAAAGAGAGCAACATTGCCCAACGGGGCGCAGGTAGACTCCTGGCCATGGTGAAATAAATAATATGATCAATCAGAGACCCTCAATCTCCGACAGAATGGCGTTGGTTATCACGGAGTGACCTGCATTTAGAGGTGGAGATGCCATCAACAGAAGCTACAAGCTGGCCTGAGCTGGGGTAAGACACCTAAGGCAATAAGGCATCACAATAGCTCCAATTTGCCTTTGAGCCAATCGGTGTCCACGATATGAAACCCTTACTGATGTGCTTTGTACGGAGTACCTTGGACGCATGTACAAGTACTGCTTCTATATTTTAACATCACGAATTAAGGACATTAATTTGCAATGCTAACCAAGTCTCAATTACAATCTCTATCTTCCCCCTAGCCTCTGCCTTGACAACCCGCTGTTTGCACAGTGCTAGATATCACAAATAGTCATCCCTTCTAGCAACCACTGAGCATTTGAAAGCTTCGAAGAGGCTGGGTGACCTTCCGGGCCGTAATTCAGTGTCTCCCGTAAAAACTAACAGAAGTACTCCAAGATTTATTATTAAACTTCCGCTCCCTATCTATTTATGTGCACAGGATAGTACATGTAGTATAGTGGGTACAGACTCATTCCCCAAACTGCAGCGGAAAACCGAGTACCCAAAAATAGAAATAAGGAGCCAGTGTGAGAGATTAGAGGTGCACATGGTGCTGCAGCTGAACTTCAGGGGCAACGACAGGGGACCGGGCTAGATGCGAGTTGTTATCCCATATGTTAGAACTTGGGATAGAGTTGAATTATTTTCATTGGGCTGTTAGTTTTAACATGATAGATATGTGGATCTTTGTATTTGAACAGCAAAAGAGTGAAGCAACCGAGTTGTACGGAGTATACAAGATTGAACTTTCCAACGGCAAGGTCCCACCAGTTTTGGCCTTAGCATTCTGGCATCAACACCCCTCCTTGTGGCCACCAATCACCGGCTCAAGTGGGAAGGCCCGAATTTTTTAAAAGGCCTCTATTTAATCCTCCCCTCTTCCTGCTCTCTTTTCCTACTTCATATCTGAATTATTATTCTCATACATTCAAAATGTCCGCCAACGAGGAACAGACGTATGTCACACTCAATCTTCTCCCCCAATCCCCTTTCCCTTTCGATTCTCATTACCCCTCAATGCCGGTCAAGCTAACCAAATGCTCTAGTTTCATTGCCATCAAGCCCGATGGTGTCCAGGTACGAACACAGCATCATTCGATCCGAATCCATCACGGACCGGGAAAAGTTTCGCAATTGAACAACACTTACTGACAATGTCAACCAGCGTGGACTCATTGGCCCCATCATCTCTCGCTTCGAGAACCGTGGCTTCAAGCTCGTTGCCATGAAGCTCACCTCCCCTAGCCAGGACCACCTCGAGAAGCACTACGCTGATCTCGCCACCAAGCCCTTCTTCAAGGGTCTCGTCGCCTGTTAGTTGCCTCTCCCGAACCGTTCCGCACATCGCAATACACTAACACAGCTCTAGACATGCTGAGCGGCCCCATCTGCGCTATGGTCTGGGAGGGTAAGGACGCCGTCAAGACCGGCCGTGTCCTCCTCGGTGCCACCAACCCCTTGGCTTCCGCCCCCGGTACCATCCGTGGTGACTACGCCATCGTAAGAGACCCCTGATGCTCTCTGATTTCGCGTGTTTTTTTTTTTTTTCTCTTCTCATACTAACAACACTAGGATGTCGGCCGCAACGTCTGCCACGGTTCCGACTCCGTCGAGAACGCCAAGAAGGAGATTGCTCTCTGGTTCGGTGCCTCCGAGGTCCTCAAGTACACCTCCGCCCAGTCCGCTTGGGTTTACGAGTAAATTCCTCGTCTTTAACTAGACTGGTCGGATGGATTTCTTCTTTGGATACTTCTAGCATAAAATAAAGCAGCGGTTCTGAGGAAGAAGCCCAATGGCTTTGGAAAATACACAATATACAAATTCATATTATTGATGAATATAGTTCTCTCTAGTATCACAGTAATGCACGACTAGCTTATCCTCTGCTGAAGAGCCGCCTAGCTAGGTTTGCTGTCGGTGTAAAGACCGACCTTGCAAACCACGGTGTAGCCCAAACACTCGCTGCCAACCGCACTGGCAACAAAGCTTTCGTGATTGCATAGGCCGTAGCAAATTCCAGAACCAATCGAACCCCTGCTCGATCGACCGGCTTCTCTGCGGTGGTTTCATGCTCCGCAACAGTATTCACATCGGCCTCATCCACCCAACCTTTCTTTTTCAGCCAGCGGCCAAAACGCGCAGCTCCCTCGTCAAAGGCATTGGTCTCGCCTGTCTGCGATGCAAGGTCCGGCATCCAGGCACCATAGTGAAATGCGCCAACCAACCCAAATAGCGGAAGAATAGCGGTGATTTCGTGAAGTATTAGGAATGATGTGATATGGGTGACCGGCGCACCGAATAAGGGTGTAGTATATGTGCGGAGAAACCGAGGGAGGCGGTCATTGAACCGGCGCAGGCGAGAGCGAGAGTCATTAGGGATAGAATGTGACGCTTTCGGTGGCTGTGGGGAAGAGGGAGTGGAAATAGTTCGTTGCGACGCATGCGATCTAGTATTTCGAGCTGTTTGCAGACGGAGATAGCGGAGAAAGTTGGGTGGTCGGGAAGCCATGTTGTTGTGGAGGGATTGGCTAACTTGAGGGGTTCACAAAGAGAGATTATATATGTTCAAAAGAAAATCGTTCTCTGGCGGCCAATATACAGTAATGCAAAACAGTTGAGTGCTCGTGTTAAGCTCGTCGATCCCGATCTGAGAAATGACGATTATCTCGCTGAGTCATCTAAAGCGCTGGCACTTTTTTTTTTTGCTCTAGCTCTTCGGGATCAAGATAGAGTCGCTCCTGGCATAGAAACAGTATTTAAGACTTTAGATCCACATAGAATATTTGCAGTAGACCTTTAATGCGCGATGGCCACTAAGATCGGCAGCTGTAGACATCATCGTTCCCGATACGACTGGCGCAAATGGTGACATGGTCCACTTTTGCCCGAATCCTCTCTTCTTCATCCAACCCCTCCCATTGCCGACCCATACCCTCAAAGGACGCAATGGAGAAGAAGATCACAGAGAAGATCGCGGTTCTGCCGCCAGATGCCAACTACTTTTCCTTGGAGTTCTTCCCTCCAAAGACCCGGATGGTGGGGGTTACCCCGCGTGCTGAACGCATCGTGAACATTTGCTAATATGGTCTACTACAGGGTTTCGCCAACCTGTCCGCGCGTCTGGAGCGTATGGCACAAGCACTCCGTCCTCTCTTTGTTACGGTTACTTGGGGCGCTGGCGGTAGCACTGCGGCACGATCGCTCGAGCTGGCGGAAGTATGCCAGCGCCAACTGCAGTTAACGACCGTTTTGCATCTGACATGCACGAACATGAGCCGCAAGCTGGTAGATATGGCTCTAGATGAGGCCAAGGCTCTCGGAATTCGCAACATCCTTGCCCTACGAGGAGATCCGCCCCGCAGTGAGGAATACAACATGCACGGAGAGGATGATAGTAACAAGGATTTCACTTTCGCCGTTGATCTGGTACGATATATTCGCCAGACGCATGGCGACTACTTCTGTGTCGGTGTTGCTGCATACCCCGAGGGCCATCCTGCCGACACCTTCCAAGATGTCCAGGATCCCATCAGAGATATTCCTTACCTGGTGGAGAAGACACTGGCTGGAGCAGATTTCATCATGACCCAACTAACCTACGACATCGACGCTTACCAGAAGTTCGAGAACGCGCTTCGCAACCATGAATCTGGTGCTTTCAAGACCATCCCCATCATTCCGGGCTTGATGCCCATCCACAGCTATAAGATTCTGACCCGAGTGACTAAGCTCAGCCATGTCACGATTCCACCTCCCATTGCCAGACGCATGGAAGAATTGAAGCACGACGATGATGCCGTCAAGCGCGCGGGTGTGGATATTGTTAGCGAGATTGTGGGTGGTATAAGGGACATTCCCTCCCCGGGCCCGCGAGGATTCCATTTCTACACGTTGAACTTGGAAAAGACGGTATCATTCATTCTCGAACAATGCGACCTGATTCCATCATACTCGGATGCTGGAGAGCTTGCTATCGAGGATGATCCCGCATCGATTCCTCTCGATTTCCCTGGACGTGCGCTGCGACGACGCCGTGCTTCCTCTATCAACTCGCAACCCCACAACCGCGTCATTGTGGACAAGCTGTCAGTCCACGAGTCATCGCAGGACTCCGTCCATGAGGCCCTTGCAGACAGCGCAGGCGTGCCCGCGCCTCCGCCAAACCGCAGCACTACTCTTCTCATCTCCGAGGGTCTTGGTGCCCTTGGTAGAGAAGCAACATGGGATGACTTCCCCAACGGACGATGGGGTGATGCTCGCTCGCCTGCCTTCGGTGAGATTGACGGCTATGGTCCCTCGCTCCATGTCACTGCCAACTCCGCACGTAGGCTGTGGGGAAACCCGGTGTCCTCCAAGGACATGAGCACACTCTTCCGGCGCCACGTCTCGGGCGAGCTACACATGGTTCCGTGGTCTGAGGGTGGTGCCGAAGAAGATGGCGACGGTTTGAATGCAGAGACTGAACTGATTCGACCGGAGTTGTTGAAGCTCATAGATGGCCGCGGCTGGTGGACACTTGCCTCGCAGCCCGCAGTGAACGGTGTACACAATGACCACCCCATCTTCGGCTGGGGTCCCCAAAGAGAAGGATTCGTCTTCCAAAAGCCATTTGTGGAGTTCTTCTGCTCTAGCAACGACTACACCAACATCCTGAAGCCAATGTTTGCCAAGCACGGCCACGACAAGCTCACCTGGTTCGCGACAAACATCAAGGGCGATTTCGAGTCATCGCTTCCAACCCAACCTGCCGATGTCGAGCTTGATGACCTTGGCTCCAACCCCGAGAGTGTCAACGCTGTTACCTGGGGTGTATTCCGCGGCAAGGAGATCGTCACCCCGACCATCATCGAGGAAGTGAGTTTCCGTGCGTGGGGCGAGGAGGCTTTCCGAATCTGGGACGAATGGCGTCGTATCTACCCCCGCGGATCGCCCAGCGAAACCTACCTAGACACAACTAAGAACGACTCTTGGCTTGTGTGTGTTGTCGGACAGCAGTTCGGTGCCGGTACTAAGCAGGGCTCCAAGGAGGAGGAAGACGAGGTTAAGTGGATGTGGCGGGTCTTGGCGGGCGAGGAGGCTTAAGAATGCGTCTTTCTCCAAATTGGGATAAAGATATACACTTTATCAACGAGAGTTCTTACGGTTGGCGGTTTAATGAGGGCAAGCCTGGACATATGAACTATGAATGCCACAAAATCTGGATTTATGTATACTAGTCTTGACCCTATCTCATCGAGATGAATATTACGATTATGCGTGCACGTCCTTCTTTTATATATATTTTAAACTGATTGATAGGTTTCATACGCCAATTGCTAAGCAAATGCTTCTATAAATACGTACCGTTTCTCATGCAAGCGTTTGCCAGAGGCGATCCTCACGGATGCGAGCTTATCGCAACTTCTCGGCAAACCCGTGTTCCTCGAGTCCACTAGCGTCGGTGTCCGGGGTAGCGATTTCAGACTGGGCCTCAGCGAATTTCTGTCTAGCATCGTCAAGTAGGCCCCATGCCTTGGGCTTGCGGCGGGGTTGATCAGAGCCGTTGGCCGGGAGTTGATATCCACGCAATCTGGGATGATTGTTAGCGATTCGAACCAAAATAACGCGTTTGGAATTGACATACCTAGGACCTTTTCCACTACTCTCCGGCATCGAAGAGGCATAAAAACGAGCAAAGGCCTCAACGTCCTGCTCGAAAGACCCACGTTGGATACTCTCCCGCACTCCTGCGAAGAATGTATCCATGACGTGGAAATTGTGGACTTGTAGGAGCGCCCAAGCGGTCATTTCCTTGGCAAGCAGGAGATGGTGAATATAAGCACGATGATAATTCTTGCAGGTATAGCATTCACATCCCTCGCCCAGCGGGGATGTATCTGTAGTGTAGTCTCCGGTCCACAGATCGATTCCCAAAGGCCGAGGCTCGGACTTGCCCTCTTGCAGGGCAGCAGGAGCGGGGAAGACGAATTCCATCGCGATGCCGCCGTCTGACGCCGCGCCCTGCAGAGGCGTGGTCAGAAGGTCTGCTCCAAGCGATACATCTCGCAGGATAGTGTGGGGTGTCTCGGGCTCACTGAAGAGCAATCGAGGAAGGTTCGCCAACGATTCTGGGACGAATCCCAATGACGCAGACTGATATAGTGCGAGGCCGGATATATCCCATCGGAACTCGCTCTCCAAATCATCCAAATAGAGGGACTGCTGCGCATTATCAAGAGGCAAGACAGGTGCAAAATATGCGCTCTTTGACTTCTCTTGCTCTGGTACGGCGTCTCCATAGAGCTGCTCCAATGCATCTCGAGTCCAGGCATGCGTCCGGTCAACCATCTTCCCCCGCCTCTTGGATCCGGGCTGCTTGTTAGCAAGGTCCACCATCCCGATTGCAATATCCGGTCTCAATTTTTGAACTGCCTTCACATAATCATGCGCGGATAATTGAGTGAATCCGACTGAGGTCAGCAGCGCAATGGAACTCGTTGTATTCGCGGGTGGACATGAGATTGGAGGGAATCGCCGCGGACCTAGGATCAAGGGCATATCCTCGGCTACGCAAATGAATTTCTTCAATGGCGACTCATGATCGGCGGCGGGTGTCTTGTAAACGGGGGCCTGCTTTTTCGCGATGACTTGTTATAGCACGTGCTGTCAGTTATGTCCAGATGAGAATTGATTGTGGTCATAGTGCAGTATTCCGCTTACAATCTTCCAATCCAGCATACAAACTGTTGATCTCAGTGTGATCGCGCATCACATCGTGCGCAACATGTGGGACTGTGCCCCGCGAAGTGAGCGGGACATGGTGCGGTGTCGCGAGGACCTTTCGGCCTGGAATGGCCAATTTGCCTACTCGAGGCGCAAGGACTGGAGCAGTGGAGGCCAGGACACTGAAGGTCATCGCTGAGGACGCGGACGTCGCTTGGTCCATGGCGTTCGTGGTTATTGAAAGACCATGTTGCGGGCGGCCTGGATCTTGTTCTTATCGGCCAGGAGAAATCGGATTTCCCGATAAACATCACCGGGGCCTCATTATCTTTCGGACACTTCGTTGGACTATTTTGCATACGTTCAGCAGGAACTGAGGATCTTGATTTATAATTTTCAAACATTTACACCTAATCACAGCCGTTCACCCGAATCAATCATGACAGGCACATCAGCCCCGCCGACGCGACGCGGAGCTCTCATTGTTGTCGAGGGACTCGACCGCGCGGGCAAATCGAGTCAATGTGAGATGCTACGGGATTCGCTCTCGCAGCAAGGGCACGTGGTTAAATACATTCGATTCCCAGGTACCTAGTTACACATTAATTATGGGTACCATTGGTCTAATAATGTCCTCTAGACAGAACGACACCCATTGGGCAATTGATTGATAGCTATCTACGCGGCACGTCGCACCAAGACGACCATTCCATTCACCTCCTTTTCTCGGCGAACCGGTGGGAGATTGCAAAGAGCATCGAAGAAGATATCACGAACGGAACAACAGTTATTGTAGACCGATACTCATATTCCGGTGTTGTCTACTCCGCCGCGAAAGCGAATCCCACACTATCACTGGAGTGGGCATGGCAGCCAGAAATCGGTCTGCCGCGCCCGGATATCTGCCTATTCCTTAGTATTTCACCAGAGGAAGCAGCGAAGCGCGGTGGGTTCGGTGCCGAGCGATATGAAAACGAGGCAATGCAGACCCGTGTGCGAGAGCTCTTCCGGACGATCTTCGAGAAGCAGGAGGATGTTTCCATTATCGATGCGGGTAAATCCATCGATGAGGTGTCACAAGAGATACAGGGTGCTGTAGCTGGTTGCATTGCGCGTTTGGACGTGACCGGCGCGTTGAGGAAATTGGAGCCTCTTGCGAATTAGCGAATTAGAAATAAGATCGGGCGCGCTTCTACTTGGGTCTCATTCAACGAGTTCTGCGTCATCCCAGTCGCTGTCTTCAATCACGATCTCGAGCTTTGATGGAGGTCGGGTCGGGCGGTAGTTCTGTCGGCCCTCGAAATCAGAGTCGGATTCTATCTCGACTTCCTCGAACCAATTTGGGCCTAGGTCATCTTGAGTCGGTTCTTCTAGCATTGACCTTGGCTCAATAGATGAAGATCGAGTGCCTGATGATGCATCCACAGCGGCAGACTCTTTGCGAACACGCTTCTCTTTCTTTCTGAGAATTGCACGCGCTTCTTTCTCTCCTCTATTGCGGAAGCTTAGCTCACGCATCATTGCCACCCACTGTACGGTGTTTCCACACGACGGGCAGGTCCCTTGGATAGGCACTAGGAGATCTGGTTTGTTGGTCGCATCAAGGAATGTGGTAGATAGACATAATAAATGACTCGTGCCGCGGCAATTCGGGTGTGGACACACTACTATTTGTTGTTCGTCCGGAGAGATCGACTCTTTACAGACCGTGCACTGCAGATCACCCGGGTCTTCCAACATAAACATTGACTTTTCGAGATGATCTTCAAGCTTGGTGTAGTCAACTGATAGGTTGTTAATGTTTCCAGTGGGTGCGAGCTCATCGCCTTGCTTGGGGTCTGGCGGCGTTGCAAGGTTGTCCCCATCTATAATAACTTTGACGTTGTCGGGTAAGCGACTATCCACACGGTCATTCCAGGCCCGCCACACACGGTAGACATCGGCACAAAAGAAGCGGACTCGTAATGGCCAAGAAGAGAAATAGGTTGAGCGAAGTAGGCAATGCAAATCCTCCAAATGCGCCATCAGAGATCTCCGAGTCCTCGCTCTGGGTTTCGGTTTCGGCTTGCCCGTCTTCCCATTGCCGTTAGCACTAGCCGTAGCTCGAGGCTTAGGGTCTAAATCATCTTCGGAATCAAGGTGCCGCGACCTTTCCGGGTGTTGCCAAGCCCATCTACGCGAAATGAGAAATTAAGACGCGATGTATATAAACAATTCATATGCGACTTACTCGAATTGCAAGGCGCCGACTCTGCTCGTGAAACCCTCTACGACAAGGGTCATTTCCCAGGGGCGTAATTTATCTCTGGCGGTTCGTTTGGCCCCACCTTTAGCGACACCGTTGTGCTGAGGGAGTCGTCTGATCGGGTTTGGCGTCGAGCCGATGTACAGTGAGGCGTGTCGAACGGTCGAGCGGAGGAGATAACAACAATAATATGCCGGGATTGGTTTTGGTTTTTCGGATTCCTCCATGATGTTTGAATTGAAGAAATTTTATATGCTTTTTTTTCACATTGAGATGTTTAATTCAACGTTGTACCTAGGTAGGCTTGTCAAGTCCTTGAAATTAGCTCTGCCTATTGAATACGGGCGGGTCCTAAGCGGTACCTTGATATACACCGGATCACATGATAGTGTATTTTCTTTTTACCATCTCAAGGGGAAAGGGAAGTGCAGTCTAGGGATATTATTAGAAATTTAATAGAAGTTACTACATGTTTAGCCAAGGGATAGATATGCAATGACTTTCACTAGACAGCCTCTATAAATATGTTATACCTCATCTAATATATGTGCCGTTGAACATATCAGAAAGACCAACAAACAACAATAAAATACATATTTAGACCATTGAAATCTAACAAAATATAGAAACAAGGTCTATACGCAGGTAATTATCACGCTAAAGAGTATCCGAGGCTCATCCTTTATCAATTTGATGTGTCACAAGACACTATATATCCACCAGATATACAGTCTCGTAATATTGGGCTCCCAAATACACCAGAAATCATTTAGGGACACCGTATGATGTTCCCCCCGTTTGCAGCATTGCAGTATAATTACTAAACTTTCAGGTGAAACTCAGGGCCTAAGCGGTACCTGAGCTCAGATTAGCTCATTCTTACAGTAAATCGTATACCGTACTGATCGGTACCGTCGCGGCTGGGTTGAAGGTTCCCCCATAGTCACTCATTGGTTCCTTTCTTACTGGTTGACCACACAAAAGGGACCTGGCAGTACTTCTGGAGTACCACCCCAGTCGATCTTTACTGCACATAATCTCATTCCTCCACTCTTAAGGTTTCTATCCCATCTATCCTTCTTTCCTCTCTGCGACTTGGGCCTCTCTTTTCTTGATTCTATCGCCTTTGGCCCCAAGTCAACCTTGTCTTTTATTTTTCCTTACACTCTATTCACTCATATACTTGGGTTCGTCAACCATTCTTCACCCTTCGGTCACATTGACAGCACGCCGGCAGCCGCCTTTCCTGATATCTATCATCATACCCTGCCTTTGCCGCATTACAGTCATTGTTAATCGAATTCGCTCAAATAGACGCGCTTAATCAAACATCTTCCCTAGTCGTCTGTCCTATTTGGAACAATGGGAGCTCCGGCCTCTGCCGGGGCGACCTCGACGGCCGCGGCAGCCCAGCCGACTCGATCCTCAAGCACCCATCCGTCGCACTCCCACAACGTGCCCCTGAGCGCTCGCAGGTCTGCACCTCTCGACTTGTCCACCGTGGAACGACGTGGGCAGCCCAACAACCCCAGAGAACCATCCAAGCGCATTCGTCCTCATGGTATCCCAGAAGCCCCGACTTTCCGTCCAACGGAGGAGGAATTCAAAGACCCGGTGGCCTACATTCAGAAGATCGCTCCAGAGGGAAGAAAGTATGGAATTTGCCGAGTGGTTCCACCAGAGGGCTGGCAACCGACTTTCGCAATCGATACAGAGGTAGGATCCCTCCTTCCACCTATGCATTTACCATCGCTTTCCGCGCATGGTCACGTCTGACAATGCTGACAATGGATACAGCGATTTCACTTTAAGACCCGTCGACAAGAGCTCAATTCGGTCGAAGGAGGTAAGGGCTCACATCCAGCACATCAGGCTGTCCCGGCTTGCAGGATCACCGCAGTGCGGTTCTGACCCTCATTCAAACATAGGAAACCGCGCGAACATGAACTATGTCGATGGCCTCGCTATGTTTCACAAACAACATGGCACTAACTACAGCCGGCTACCCAGCGTCGACAAGCGACCATTAGATCTCTACAAACTCAAAAAGGCAGTAGAGAGTCGTGGAGGCTTCGAATCCGTATGCAAGACAAAAAAATGGGCAGAAATTGGTCGCGATCTTGGATACAGCGGCAAGATAATGTCTTCTTTGTCCACTTCGCTCAAGAACTCCTACCAGCGCTACTTGCAGCCGTATGAGGAATACTTGGCCCGAGCCAAGCCTGGTGTGCAACAACAGCTTGAACTTGAGCACGGTGGTCCCTACACCCCTTCGCCTCTGCAATCCCCCATGACTCACAAGCCCATGTTTGATGAAAATGGCACGCCCTCTAAAGTCCGCGACGAAACTCCTAGCCTGCCTCGAATGGCCGCTTCACATACCCCAATGGCGTACACACCAGTGGCACATACCCCGATGGCACATACTCCAATGGAAAAGTCTCCGGAGAAGCCAACTCCACCTGTCGAGCCCACTCCTCCCCCTCCTTCACGCCCAGCGGCCGCAGGCTTTACTCCTGTTAACTCCGGCCTCGGTGGCTTTACCGCTGTCAACCACTCCCCTTTCACCCCCGCGAGCAACACCCCTGCGAACAACGGCCCACCAATCAAGCGTGAGGGAGAGAACGGCGCGTCAACACCCAAAGTTGTTTCCGAGCATGCTTCCGTCTCGACACCTATAAACAGTCAAGATGAGGAATCTCTGAAGCGTGCGATTAGCCGTGAGGACAGTTCTCAATGCGAAAACGGCGATGACGATGATGGAAGTGGTCGACGTAGCAAGCGTCTGAAGAAAGGTACACTTTGTAACTCTTTCAATTCTCGAAGGAAGCCTTGTCTAACGCCCTTTCCAGATTCATTCCCAACGATTGCGGGTTCTCACATGTCACTTCTTCGCCCAGCGCCGGTTAGATCGCGTAAGGATGGCTCCCAGCCAGCTGGAGAGGTAGGCGGAGGTTCGTGTCAGCGTTCTAATGATATACTGATTCGTGAACAGAAATGCGAGACTTGTGGCAAATCGGATGACCAAGGGTCTATTCTTGTATGCGACGGTTGCGAACTAGGGTATCACAAAGCGTGTCTCGATCCATCCACCACCACACCATCGGAACACGACTGGCACTGTCCTAAGTGTTTGGTCGGCACAGGAGAATTCGGATTTGAAGACGGCGGTGTTTACTCACTCAAACAGTTCCAGGAGAAGGCCAACGAGTTCAAGAAGAAGTACTTCGCTGCTAAGATGCCCTTCGACCCAGTTCTCAACACGCATCGACGCGAAACCGAGGATGATGTGGAGGCCGAATTCTGGAAGCTTGTCGTTGATTTACATGAGACCGTTGAAGTCGAATACGGCGCGGATATCCACTCGACCACGCATGGAAGTGGATTCCCAACTATCGAGCGGAATCCCCTTGATCCATTTTCGTCAGACCCTTGGAACTTGAATGTCCTTCCATTCTATGGAGACTCGCTCTTCCGTTACATCAAGTCCGACATCTCTGGCATGACGGTTCCCTGGGTCTATGTGGGGATGTGTTTCTCCACTTTCTGCTGGCATAATGAGGATCACTACGCTTATTCCGCGAATTACCAACATTTTGGTGCTACCAAGACCTGGTACGGAATTCCAGGTGCCGATGCGGAGGCCTTCGAGGCGGCCATGCGGGATGCAGTTCCGGAACTTTTCGAAGGCCAACCCGATCTTCTTTTCCAGCTTGTCACCTTGATGCCACCAGACAAGCTTCGCAAGGCCGGCGTTAATGTTTACGCGGTGGATCAGCGAGCTGGTCAATTTGTGCTTACATTCCCTCAAGCATACCATGCCGGCTTCAACCACGGATTTAATTTCAATGAAGCAGTCAACTTCGCGCCTACGGACTGGGAGCCATACGGTGCAGCAGGTGTTGAGCGTCTTCAGAAC